TGCTGCCTGCTGCTGCCTCTGCTGGTGTCTGCTGCTGCCTGCTGCTGCCTGCTGCTGCCATGCATTCCTACATGGCCGACCCACAAGAGTTCCGGGAAGCTGGTGCACAAAAACTCAGCAGCATGCTATCGCTTCTGCTGCTGCTGCTGCTGCTGCCGCTGCTGCTGCTGCTGCCGCTGCTGCTGCCGCTGCTCTTGCTGCTAGTGCGGCTAAACTTGCTTGTCTTTGCTTGTCTTATTCCCTGGCGCGCTCCCCCTTGCGTCTGCCGGGGTCGGCGGATAGTAGGGTTTCAGAAGTGACGTTAAGCCCTTTTTTGGGGTTCCTTTGCTACGTTTTGGGCACGAAATTAGGTGGTGTTTTGCTGTTTCGGATGTGTTTCGAAAAGGGTGTCTGGCTGTTTGTTTCTTGCTTTGGAGGCTGTTTGATTGCAGCAGCACCACAGCAGCAGCAGCAGCAGCCACCAGCAGCAGCACCAGCAGCAAGGAGCAGCAGGCAGGCAGCAGCAGGCAGCAGCAGGTAGCAGCAGGCAGCAGCAGGCAGCAGCAGGCAGCAGCAGGCAGCAGCAGACACCAGCAGAGGCAGCAGCAGGCAGCAGCAGGCAGCGGCAGGCAGCGGCAAGCAGCGGCAAAGTTGCAATTTTAAGGCAGGCAGCAGCAGGCAGCAGGCAGCTGCAGGCAGCAGCAGGCAGCAGCAGGCAGCAGCAGACACCAGGAGAGGCAGCAGCAGGCAGCAGCAAGCAGCAGCAGGCAGCGGCAGGCAGCGGCAGGCAGCGGCAAAGTTGCAATTTTATAGTAGGGTTTCAGAAGTGACGTTGGGCCCTTTTTTGGGGTTCCTTTGCTACGTTTTGGGCACGAAATTAGGTGGTGTTTTGTTGTTTCGGATGTGTTTCGAAAAGGGTGTCTGGCTGTTTGTTTCTTGCATTGGAGACTGTTTGATTGCAGCAGCACCACAGCAGCAGCAGCAGCCACCAGCAGCAGCACCAGCAGCAGGCAGCAGCAACGAGCAGCAGGCAGGCAGCAGCAGGCAGCAGCAGGTAGCAGCAGGCAGCAGCAGGCAGCAGCAGGCAGCAGCAGGCAGCAGCAGACACCAGCAGCAGCAGGCAGCAGCAGGCAGCGGCAGGCAGAGGCAAAGTTGCAATTTTAAGTAGGGTTTCAGAAGTGACGTTAGGCCCTTTTTTGGGGTTCCTTTGCTACGTTTTGGGTACGAAATTAGGTGTTTTTTTGCTGTTTCGGATGTGTTTCGAAAAGGGTGTCTGGCTGTTTGTTTCTTGCTTTGGAGGCTGTTTGATTGCAGCAGCACCACAGCAGCACCACAGCAGCACCACAGCAGCAGCAGCCACCAGCAGCAGCACCAGCAGCAGGCAGCAGGGAGCAGCAGGCAGGCAGCCGCAGGCAGCTGCAGGCAGCAGCAGGCAGCAGCAGGCAGCAGCAGGCAGCAGCAGGCAGCAGCAGCAGCAGCAGACACCAGCAGCAGGCAGCAGCAGGCAGCAGCAAGCAGCAGCAGGCAGCGGCAGGCAGCGGCAAAGTTGCAATTTTATAGTAGGGTTTCAGAAGTGACGTTAGGCCCTTTTTTGGGGTTCCTTTGCTACGTTTTGGGTACGAAATTAGGTGGTGTTTTGCTGTTTCGGATGTGTTTCGAAAAGGGTGTCTGGCTGTTTGTTTCTTGCTTTGGAGGCTGTTTGATTGCAGCAGCACCACAGCAGCAGCAGCAGCCACCAGCAGCAGCACCAGCAGCAGGCAGCAGCAAGGAGCAGCAGGCAGGCAGCAGCAGGCAGCAGCAGGTAGCAGCAGGCAGCACCAGGCAGCAGCAGGCAGCAGCAGGCAGCAGCAGACACCAGCAGAGGCAGTAGCAGGCAGCGGCAGGCAGCGGCAGGCAGCGGCAAAGTTGCAATTTTAAGTAGGGTTTCAGAAGTGACGTTAGGCCCTTTTTTGGGGTTCCTTTGCTACGTTTTGGGTACGAAATTAGGTGGTGTTTTGCTGTTTCGGATGTGTTTCGAAAAGGGTGTCTGGCTGTTTGTTTCTTGCTTTGGAGGCTGTTTGATTGCAGCAGCACCACAGCAGCAGCAGCAGCAGCAGCAGCCAGCAGCAGCACCAGCAGCAGGCAGAGCAGCAGGCAGGCAGCCGCAGGCAGCCGCAGGCAGCTGCAGGCAGCAGCAGGCAGCAGCAGGCAGCAGCAGACACCAGCAGAGGCAGCAGCAGGCAGCAGCAGGCAGCAGCCACCAGCAGAGGCAGCAGCAGGCAGCAGCAAGCAGCAGCAGGCAGCGGCAGGCAGCGGCAAAGTTGCAATTTTATAGTAGGGTTTCAGAAGTGACGTTAGGCCCTTTTTTGGGGTTCCTTTAGCCTGTGCTGATTAACATTTACTCTTTATCTAAACTACTTTAAGATCGACAAAACATGATGCTGGCTAGTTGAGTCCCTAAAGTAGCTAAAGGCTGGAAACTATCAACCAATTGTCAAAAAAAACTCAGACCATCATCTGATATATGATATAACTGTCATATAACCACATGACCATTCTTCCGGGGTCGGCGGCAGGGGCGGCAGCCCTTAAATAATTGATAGAAGGAGATTTCCATAAACCATTAGAAGTAAGGATCCCATAAACTATAAATCTTATGGTTATCCTTATCCTTTTTGGTTAAATCATGTTAAATCCCCATATGGAGGTTTGTCCTTGGACGGGATTCAACCCAGTCATGGCCGGCCTTCTGCATCTCTCCCAACTTCGAGGCCATGGCTAAGTACTGCCTCGGAGGTGGTGGAAAGAAAGGTGTAGCAACCCACAAGTTTGGGACATGTTTGAACAACCCGGAAATTCTGGGGGAAACTTTTTTTTTGTCCACAAAAAGGTCCTGAAAACAACATCGTTATCTTTTTGGGGACCCCTACATGTATTCTACTACTCCAGTGGGGATGTTCGCCCAGTTTCTTGGGGATACTGGCAAGTCTCTTTTGTTGGGACCAATAAATTTTTCGAACATCCATTTTGAAGAGGTGCTTCCTGCATTTCTTTCCTCAAACGTCCCCATGACTGGGTTTGCCTCCTTGCTATCCAAACGTCCAAGTTAAGGGGCTGTTTTGAATCTTGAGCTAATCTTAGATGCCCTGCAATAAAAGGTTCATTCACTGGATTTGTTGAAGGGAATATCTACAGGAAACCATCGTTTTCCCAATCAAATATAATATAAGGGTTTCCTGTAATTGTTCCTTTAAACCAATCGATTGATGAATTCCGTAGCACGACACGTGCCCCCATCAAATCGTCAAACATTGACATGTGATGAGCTTGCCGTTCACCTTCCGGTGGCGCGTTCCAAACCCCCAAAGCTATGGGGAATTCTACTTGAGAGGATTATCCCATGTAGCATTTTCTTTTACTGCACTGCCCTGATTGATATAATACCCTCCAGTAATTTAACATAGCTATTGAAAATGGCCATAGAACTAGTTAACTAGTTGATTTACCTATTAAACATGGTGATTTTCCAGTTCGCTATGTTAATTCACCAGGGGGTAATAAGTCCCCTACGAGTGGGGGGCTATCCCATTTACATCCGGGTGAACTAACCTCACCAGTTGCGATCCATGGGGCGATCGTCCAGGCAATCATCCCCATCGGGAAACCCCTGAATTGAACACAATCGCGTCCAACTATATACCATCTGGTTATTTAACATAGCATTGGAAAATCCCATATAAATGCAGGTTTTAATGGGAAAATCATATATAAATGGGCAATTTTCCATGGCTATGATAAATAACCGGAGGGTATATATATATATGTATAACATAACTCCTACTTGAATTCCTATGAATCAACTGACCTAAGGTTTAGGGGCATCATATATAGATTGTATATCCCAATGCATCCCAATGTATCATGATAAGATATACTGTAGCCATTTCACCCGGTGCTCAGGTGCTCGAAATTCTGGCAATTTCTGGGCGCCGAGGTGCTCAGACCATTTCTCTGACCATTCCTCGCCCTGAGGTTCTGCTTCCTCCCTCAGTATGGCAGCAGCGCATTCTTCAAACATGGCTGGATGGAAAAATCCCACTGGAGATTTATAGCTGGGAACATCGAACAGGTTTGAGTGGAGGGTAAGGCCGGACTTAAAATCTGAAATGAGTTGATCTACAGAAATGAGGCGTTCAATGGAAGTGACTAGTTTTCAGGCGGAAAAGCGCGCAAATTGTAGCCCCTTTCAGCATGAGGCTCATTATGAACCATAATGAACCAAATATCATGGGGATTTATTGTTGCCCCATTGATGGGAATATTAAAGGTGATACTTCAACTCCCACCATCATTGTCAACATTATCAACATCGGTCCGAATTGATGATGTGGCCCACTGTTTGATGAATGGCTGGCGAGTCCAGCCATGGAATCCTAGTCATCCATGGGTAGGTTTGATGAATGGCGATCCTGTGCTAACCTGAAATTCGAAAAAACCACTGGCTTTTGAACTTGCTGGCAATCATGGGATGAGTGGACTCAATTATCAGCCATTTTCATCCATGTTCCTATTACAGAAAGATCCCTGCTTCAGCCTGCTCCATAATTATCCTCTCCCGTGTGCTATTTACTATTTCATTAGTTATTACACACGGGTCCACAGATTTGTCAATTATTTACCGCCGAGCTATCCATAATTAATACATTTTTAATACCACAAAATCACAAATGTAATTCAGCAAGCAGCAAGCACCTGATGGATGGGCTGTCCATTTCAGTGAAAGGTACCCCATCCCCATGTAAGACCTCCCATGTCCACAGCCCGACAGCCCGAACTCCTCGTGCACCGTGCACTCGCTTTGCGTACAGTACTTCGAGTTTTTGCACCCGAAATCACTTGCAATCCGTAAACTCCGTAAACCCTCTTGATGCGGTTGATGCGTTGAATCTTACCATGGCCGACCATGGCCTTTTTGGGCGGGAAGTGTGGCCGGGTGAAGTCCAAAGTCTTCGCTCCGAGATTCCAGAAGGCCATCCTCCAAGGCATCCAGAAGTGGAGCCAGCTGGGTCCGCCAGGCAAGCCGTTGTTTAATCTACATATAAATTGATGAAACGGCATTCACCAACCAAAAGTGTGACAGATAAATCCCTAATACACATTAACTGACTAAGAATTAACTAATCTACATATATCTACATTATCAATTCATACATGATCATAATTAATATCAAATAGTTACTACATATTAACATATATTAATAATATTAATTAATCACCATATTAAACAAATATTAATTATATATAATTACAATCATTCGTTATATTAAAATATGGCTATATGTTATTGTATTATTATATCATTTCCCAATATATTATTATATTATATAAGATTATATATATATTATAATCATGTTAATTACATAATAACACATCTTAACATATATTACTCTCTGGTTATTGAACATAGCCATGGAACATGGTCCATTTATAGATGGTTTACCTATTAATAGCATGGTGATTTTCCATGGCTATGTTAGTCATAACCAGAGGCTAATAATATTAATTATCCCCCATATTAAATCTATTATAATCATCCGATCTACCCATCCATTAGTTGATCCATCCGCCCCAGCAGCTCCCATCGCGTCGAGGCACTCGGGTTCCTCGGCCTTCTGCAGGGAGCTGGTGAGTCCCGCCGATGCGGCGACTCCATCGTGACGCTTCACCTGGCAACGGCGGAAAAATGGCGAAATGGCGATTTCACCGGGTCTTTTTTGGGGTTTTCACGAACAGAACATGTGGGGTTTTAGTCGTTTTAAGTGGTTTTAACTGGTTTTGGAACCTGGTTCTAGCTGGTTTGAACTGGTTTTTATATAATGGCTTTTACTGGGGTTTCATGGGTTTAAGATGGTTGGACATGATGGAAAAAGATGGAAAAAGCATGTTTAATGACGATCTTTCCACAGCAAAAACCGTTTTAAGAGTTATAGATTTAAGCAGCAAAACGGAGATGTCATCAGCAAACACTTGGAGTTTACTGGAAGAAGGGATGTCTCACAAAAAAACAAGCGACAAGAATTGGAATTGATCCTAGTGCCTAGTGCTTTTGACCAGCGAAATTTGGGATTTCAGAAGCTGGTCGTCATGATTTGTGGACTTCATCAGTTCAATCCGAATTGGGTTGGCAACACAGGCCCCACTGGAACCCCAACAAGCAATGAATATTGGGCCTTTCTCCTCATCTCGTTGATCAAATCTTTCCGCATTCATATTCTGCCATCCGGATAGAAACCTGTTAATATTTGTTTATTTCGCAACATAAATTAAGTCTTCTCTCTATTCATTGGCCTTTTCTTTTTTGTTTTTTTTATCTTTTTTCCCTTCATTTCTATCGACCTCGTCCCAGGGTGACCTCAACCCACTTGTTGTCGATCATATGTTTGGCGTGCGCATCGATGACCTTCTCCACGGCCTGGAAGAAACACACCGCACCACACGCCGTGGAAAATCCGGGAAAGACGTGGAAAATATGTGGCAGTCCGAAGTGAAAGAGTGGTAAAAACACTCACTGATGACACTTTTCTAGCTTTTTTGAGGTCACTAGGCAAACAAGTTGTTTGAAGCAAATATTTCAGAACAAACACATTGACAGCGCTAAATACCACCAACAAGCATTGACATCTACACTGTAAGAACGGTTTGACATGACCAGTGACGAAGATTGGGTTACGAATATATACAGGCAGTGGGGTATCATCATATCCAAGACGGGCACATATTTTTCATCGATGGGGTGCAAGCTGCAGATAAACAAAGATCTGTTTGGTCATTTCAACCCCTGAATATATTATATGAATCCTTTTGGATCATGCCTTTCAAGTAATTAGGCTTGAAAACCAACCTCTGGAAAACAACCAGCCAGAGGCGATGGTGGCTTCAGCCAAATGGATCCAAATGGGAAAAAAGAGTGTAGACAACACACGCAGGAGTCAAGAACTTAGCTAGGAAACAAAATCAAATGGCCGCAAATCAAAAGCAAACAGTTTGGCAGGCAGGGAATATCTTCGGATAGTCCAAATGAACAGTTCACCCTGAAAATTCACATGAACCCCTCCGAGAAAACTTCCAAAACTGACACTGAACCCCCAAGACCTGCAAGAGAAACACATTGTCTGGTTAGTATAGTTACCATCTGGTTATTTTTAATATAGCCATGGAAAATCACCATTTTTAATAGGTAAACCATCTATAAATGGGCCATCTATACCACGGCTATATTAAATAACAGAGGGTAAGTATCCATTGGATTTAAGCATCGAAGTGCCCATCCAGTACGCTGCAAGAGGCAGATTGCTGGGGGCTGATGCCGCCCTATGATGCGTCCAGGTTGTGCTGGGAGAGTTTCCGGCACAGCAGGTTGTCTGCAGACTGTTCTATCCCTGTTGTCGGTGGTAAAAATCCAGTTCAGCTCCCACATGTTTACCCAGTCAATCTCATTCGGCCAGCCAGTTCCTATAGAAATTTACGCATGACCAAGGTTTCACTTCAAACATCTTCAAAAGTTTCACCCTCTAACAATGAAACATGGCTGGCTGGGAAGTCCCCTATAAGTGAACATTTTCATGGGAACACCACCAAACCAAATTTATCATTCCATCTCATCAGCAACCAACTTGCAATAGTTTATCCTCAACTTTTTGAAAAGAACATCATGTTTGAGTACTGGAGGATCAAAATCTTTCCCAACAGCTAAAAAACCTTTTACATCATTTTGTATAAATACCTGGTTTACATTCAACATTTCCAGGAACTCCCCTGATTTGACAAGAAAAAACACATAAATCAGCATGGTTTCCTATGGTTTCCTTGAGATTTGCACCTTTTTCTCACCACGACGTCACCCAAGGGCCCCGTTGAATCCGTTGCGGAAGCCGTTGGCTTTGGCGCCTCGGTGTCGGAGAACTTGACGAAGGCGAAGCCGCGAGAGGTGCCGTCGGGCAGGCGTTTGATGTCCACGTGCTCCACCTCGAAACCAACTGATGGAGTTGGTCATGGCTTGAGCTCAGGTGGCTTATTGGATGTTAAGAGGGTTTAAACAATGCCATAAACTACCCATGACTGGAAATGTTAAACAAACACCTATAAACATGGTGATTTGGGGGATCGTTTATTATTGTAACCGCATTAATAGGGTTTGCTGGAAGTTGTACTCCAATATTATGAAATATGGGATATGGTTATGGGTAAATAAATAAATGAATAAATAAATAAATAAATACATAAATAAATAAATAAATATGTATATATATATACATATGTGGTTAGGGTTTAACCCTAGTTGGTCATAGATGGGATATGCTAATGGGCTATATGGTGCGAAGTCAGGCCAATTTGCAACCCCGAAGTCCACACTGTGGCGACGAAGCTCCTCATGATACTGTTGGCCCTGCGAAAAGGTTCCAGCACCCGCAAAATCGAACTGGAAAGGAGACCAAATGATATACCCCAATACCATATCTTGACCGATGGAGTTTGCCTATGGATCAATATTCCCCTAATATTGGGATATCATATAGGAGAAAGGTTAATATTGCAGACCCATAATAAGGTGAACCCCAATTATATAATCTAGGGGAGGTTCCCAACATAGATATGTTTATTCTCGTGCCTACATTAATTTCTTTGTGATATTTCCCTTGATGGTTTTGAACATTGAATACCCGAAAATTTGATGCTTAATCATCTGTTTTTTAACCAACAAGAATGATGATTCAAATTGATTTCATGGGATGTATAGCAAATGTATGGTAAACCTATGGTATTTAACTGCTAAAAAAAAACATCATATTCCATCCCCAGATGGTAGCTTTATCCTTGGCTTCCCACATGTTTTTTTTTTTAATATAGTGATATGTGATGTGATATTTCGCTTGATAAATGGTACCCCCTCAAGTAGTAAATTAGGGGTTCAGTACTCCTGGGTTGATATTTATGGATTAAACATAGGCTTGTTGGAAAAAAAACAGAAACAACACGTCTTAGAAACAACAAAACCGAGGAGTGGGTTGAATACATATCACAATTTTACACCATTTTGTTGGGATTCGTGGAGATCTTAACAAAAACAGCACTGATGTCACTGATCATTGGGCCCCTACTGGATGATTAGCCATGGGATTTCCATCTCGTGTTCCAAAAGCGCCTGTCCGAACTTGGCAAAATGCGCCGTCACCTCACAGCGGAAGGGGGGATGATGTGGACATACCGACAGCCAGTGATCATCAGAATTGTCACCTTTGCAGCAAGGGGGTCCCATCAAGCTGCACTATTCGCGCTGTTAGTGGTGGAGGGCATGTGCGAGTCATTAAACCCACTTAAATCCAAAATGTTGGAGATTATGAGGCATGTTTAGCCCCAGTTCAACTTCTTCATCACCAGTTTTGGTTGGTGAAGACCCAGATTTTCTTCTGGCTGGTGGTTGAGCCCTACCCCTCTGAAAAATGATGGAGTGAGTTCGTCAGTTGGGATGATTATTCCATTCCATTCCATTGTAGCTGCCAGGTTGTCATCAGTGTTGGTGGTAGACCTACCCTCTGGTTGGATGATTTTTCTCAACTGAATGGAAAGTCATAATCCAGCCATGTTCCAGTCACCACCAACCAGACCCAGATTTTCCAAAAAGCGCCGCGCCAAGGTGCCCGGTCTTCTTCGGTGGTTTTTCGCAAGCCACCCACGAAGATCACCGTGGCGTTGTCCTGTGGCTTCCACTAATGATGGGGGGTTTAGCAGTGGTTTGTCTGAAAATGTTGGGTATATTCCCAATGAAATAGCCATTTAATAGGGATAATGATCAGCAAAACCATTGGGTAAAAAGGGGTACACTATTTTCAGACACACCCATTATGGTTTATTCATGGAGTTATCAGAACCAGAAAGAACCGGTTATTCGAAAATTACGAGTTGAATGAATCGATAAAAAAGGAACTGTTACTTTCTGCAGAATTCTACACCATCCACACTCATTTATATACACACATATACAGTAAATTGCAAATCCCAAGCCCACTTCAAGGAATCTGTTGATGCTCTACCCAGACCAGACTCGGCCGTCGTCGCTGAGCACAGCCCGTCCTTGGGTTTCTTTTTCTTCTCCTCAGCCCACGGGTAGAGCAGGGAGCATCAAAACATATCAAAGGCGGGAAGCGGATAGCCTGGATAGCCCGCAAAACAAATTCATTTAGGTGGGATTCCAGATGCCATAACTATCCTAACTATTAAATATTTTAATTTCGTAAGTTGCATTGAAAAGGAACTTGCAAACAACCACCAAAGCAAGATGCTACAAACATCACTATGTGGGTCTCAAGCCTGGTCATTTCAGCCAAACATGCCTTATATTCTCGATGCGAAAGACCATACTGTTGGCATCTGGTTTGACACTGGGCTCTGTTGCCAGACACGTCCGAAAGGTGGTACAGGTGGAATTATCCACCCTTCCGGGTCCAGGCCCTTTCCGGTCCCCAAAACGGCAAAAATTGAAGAGCTGGAAGCCACAACTAAGACATCTGAGTGACAAAGCGATTTTTCATCGAGACCCAAGTAGCTTGTCAGATCTTGAAGGAAACGACTGCATTTTTGTGTGGTTGTTCCATCTTATCGACTGCGACACATTCTCATGATCGGTTTCTATATCTATCTTTTGGTTGCATCCTTTCGATCATCTTGTAAGGCCCATAGCCGTCATAGCCAGTTTGAATACGATTTCAGTGATTCAATAGCCCCATATTTTTGACTTCGCTCCCACAGTCTATCATATCTATCATCATTTTCTTGGATCTCATGTTTGATGAGAAAACCGCTGGTAGACAATGATATTTGGTGTGCAAAGATCATGGCCGATTATGATTTTTGATCATGAAGGTGGCAGTTTTGGACATGAACCAGTGTTAACGGTGAACATGTCAGTAGTGGCAACTGTTTTTCAAAATCGTTTTTGCCTTATAATGCAAATGATTTGTCATTTTTTTATTTTTTTGCCATGGATACACACCAGACCAACTGCAAAATCATAATGGTAACCAATGGTAACAATAATTTCGGCATGTCTTGCATACATTCTCCCATGTTGTTGATTATCTAAGTTATATGTCCCAGAAATGGTTGGCAAAATCCCATAAAACTGCTATTTAGGTTGTGTCAGAATCTATGCCTAAATTTGTATGAGTTAAGTGTAAACCAAACAATCTCCATATACTTTCGTAAAATGGTTGGCTATTACATGAATATTGCCATTTTAATTGATAAATAAATGAAATCCCCATTGGGCTATACATTTTTGACATAATATATATATATATATAATATACTGTATATATTATTATATATTAATCCAATTTACTTCCCCTTCTATAAATGCAGCAAGTGAAATCCCAGCAGGTCATCCGCTGTTGAGAATGCCCAAGGTGCTCCGGACTTTTCACCTTTGCTCTTCTTGGTAGAGCCACCCATCATCCTAGGCGATGTGACAGGGGGCGAACACCTTGAACAGCCGCGTGGGCGGCCACGGCCACATTTCCAGCTTCAACTGTACTGACGTTCCCAAAAAAATCACCATGTTATGGGGGCCAAGGTATCCAAAGCAACCTCTAAATACTATCAAATATCTTGATATAGTTGACAATTCGTGGCAATTCATGACAATTCATGATTCATAATTAATCCCCACAGGCCAGGCCGAGGCCGTGATACCAGATTTTTTTTTTTCGATCCCGGTGATTTTCATTCATTTTGCATCCTGAAAACACGGGAAACCAGGAACTGATCCCTGAACGCATCACGAATCATGGCATGGCGAGCTGTGATTCCCATCGCCGAGCATCTGTGTCATCATCTCTTGCATCTTTTTCCTCAGACACAACTCATGGCATTCATGGCCCAAGGTTTTGACCAAAAAAACAGCACAAAATGATATAAAATGATGATTTCCATGCGACAACATCCAAACAATTAGCGATTTGAATCCGAATCTCCTCTGATCGCCCCGGAGGATCGGAATGAACGTGAACTACAGATAGCATGGGAGTATATTGGGCATCCGACCATGCAGATTGGGTTTAATAACATAACATAACATAACCAAATGTTATACCTCCAGCAATCATGGCCTGACATCGGAGCTGTTAACCACCATCAATCACTGTGAAACATTGTTCGGGGGTACCATTTGGGGGCGGCGCGCCCTTAAACCGCCATGAACCCATGAAGAATATCATTGTGGGTTTCTACCTGCACAGCCCAAATTTCACCACATAATAAGGGCCGAGATGGTCAGAAGAATAAACGGTCAACACGTGTCAACACGTGGTTTATGACAAGTGGTTATCGTTACCAACTCCCCCCAAAGTAACCAAATTAAATCAAATTAAGGCTTTCCCGATGTTGAGTGGGTGACAATGGTTCACAGTTGTGTCTCCAACAAAAGCGGTTCCTCATCAACAGTACTCTGTTTGAACAATAGTCGTTTTTCTCAGTACGTTGTACCCTCTGGTAAACTAACATAGCGAGCTGGAAAATCACCATCTTTAATAGGTAAATCAACTATCATTGGCCATTTTCAATAGCTATTTTGGCATAACCAGAGGGTAACGCTATTGCTCAGTATCAGGGTGATCGCAACACTATACGCAAGAAGAGTTGAGGCCCCATGAAATTGTCCCCTGAGGCGCTGTCATGCGCTGTCAGGCTCCAACCCCCTCGTGTCACTACAGAAAACGGGCTGATTTACATTCACCCTTCAGAAGGCATCCCCAAACAGTAGCTGATCTTTCTTGTAGAAATTCAAGTTCTATCTTTTTCTCTGTTCCATACTTATCCAGATTTCCAGCTTTCCAGATCGCAATTACTGCATTTCCTGTGGAGGGGGGTGGGGCTACCGTTTTGACCACAGCAGGTCGAGCAGCATATCCCCTCCACCACCGCCGCCGCCGCCCATCATCATCTGCATCATCTGATTCCTGGCGGCAAGAATGGGTCAAAAGTCAAAACGCCACACTACGTAGCTAAGTTGTTGGAAATCAGTAGGTTAACTGTTAGCTCCTGGCAGAGATATCATGCATCATATCTGTTTGGTGAAAATGACCAGCGAATAACGGGCACAGGGCCGGCACCCTGTGCCAAGTAGATCTTTGTGCAATGGAAAGTTCCTTACCACCGGGGAGAATAAACACACACACAGAGCTGACGTGCACACACAACACACACATGCATATACTGATATGTATATGTATAATTATGTATAATATTATGTATACATGATATGTGGGAAACATCAAAACCAAAACATAGGTTGAAGTCATAGGTATTTTCATGTGTTTTCCATGGCCAGGGAAAATTACCAAATGGTAGGCAAAACGGATGCCCATAGATATTCAAGTCTGGCAGCGGCGATGGAGGTCAGCTAACGATTGGCACACATGTCACAGTTCAACTGGCAGGATTTCCTCTTCATGGCTGCCCTTGATATATTCTTTGAATAAGTTACCCGCTGGTAAACAAACAAAAAGCTATTGAAAATGGCCATTTATAGTTGATTTTCCCAGCTATAAAATGGTGATTTTCCATAGTTATGTCAGTTTACCAGAGGGTAATCTTGAGTCAAATGCTCACGGTTCCTACTTCTAATGTAAAATCAATAGCCAACGCCAAAATTGAATGGTGCAAGCCAATCATTCACCACGCTTCATTCACGTTTTTTGTTCACCCAAAATTCTGGAAGAGTTCTTCCCTTAAGCGTAAGGGTGGCCACCAAACGTACGTCCTAAATAAGTAAGTCCCTAATGTTTCAGGTTTATTAACACCCATGAACCCTTGGTGCTTCGTCAATGCAATGCTACAACTTTAGCACTTTAGCAGTTTTACTTTTGCCTTTTGGGGCTTTTATCCAAACCATACCTCCAAAAGACTCTGAAAAAATCTACGTCTATGGCAATCCATCGTGACCATTCTTTTCAGCTGATCCAAAAAATCGATCAACTGTCCATGTAAAAACGTCGGGGATTGATCGATAGTTGGATCCGGTTATCGCTCGCATGGAAGATGGAACTGGGGGAACCCTTCTGAAGTACTGTTAACGCTGGTATTTTTTTCCTGAGTATATGTAGATTATTTGTAACTTCTGATGGGATAAATAAAGCATACCTCTCCAATTTTGATCCATTGTGCATATGCACGTTTTTCCCAGAGAACCAGGGTGTTTTTTAAAATTACGTCACTTATAAGACGTCGGACAGGCCCCTACAAACTCCGACAAAGCACAGGAACTGGCTACATATTCACCGAGTGGCTGCATCATCATCTGTTGCTGCATCATCCTCGAAAGGGACACATTTTTGCCATGAGGATCCAGCATCTAGATGGATGGTAAAGCACTAATCAATTGTCATTCCTGAAGTTTCACATAGATGGGATGCGAAAAGAGTTGGGAAACCATTCGCGAACTAATCCAGGTGGGCAAATCATTCCAAGTGTGCTATCATGTATAGGAAATAGGAAACGTATAGTAATGAATCGGATATCCTCCCCCAAATTAACATAGACCCACCCGAATAGGGGTTTGGAAGACTACTTTCCACTAAGCTTTGGCAATTTTCAGGTGTCTATGTCTGGGGAGGGTAACGCCCAGCTAATAGATGCTAATAGCATAATAGCACAAGCGATCGCAGAAAGTCACATTTCACCCAACATGGCCAGAATGGGTCAGTAGTGGTGGAAACTCTCTGAAACCACCAATCCGGTAATTGAAAATCATCAAAACTGGCCCATTTTGGGATGAACCGATAAAACATGTTGGGCATGTTGATTTTCCACTTCGACTGTAACAACTTACCCTCTGGGAATTTAATAGTTTGCTATTGGAAATGGCCCAGTCGAAATAGTTGATTTTCCCAGCTATAAAATGGTGATTTTCCAGTAACTTTTTGTTAGTTTACCAGAGGGTACCACAAAGTAGGTTGGTAGCATGAAGACCGCCGCCATCCCCAATTTGTCCATGGCAAGGGACGGCATGGCGCCGCCCATGCCACATCCGCCCATTCCACCGCCCATGCCGCCCATGCCACCCATGCCCCCCATGGGGCGTGGGCAGCCCATACCTGCCAGCTTGGTGCCACTGAAATAGATGGAAATGCAACCCCAAACAAACCGATCTAATGGAGGTTTTATGGGAAAACGATGGAAAAAGAGAGGACAATACGAAAAATAATTTCTAGATCTCATAGCAAGTTTTTCTTCTATTAATGTCTGTGTTTTCGTCGCTTCTTGAGGATGTTTATGATTTGACCCAGCAAATATCATGGGAATGGATTCATCCTCACCAAGAGGGCGCCATCATGGGGATTTTCAGGAACAACATTTGACCTTTGTTTCGAACCCTGTAAAATTTCACCTTCGTAACTGTTTAAACTGTTTCGCAGCCTCGTGAATTGTTTTACATGGAACTCCACATCTTCAGGAAAATAATTTTTCTATAGAGTCCAGTGGCATCCTGTTTGGGTTTTACATCAACTAATCAGGGACCGAACAACATCTGGGGTCTGAAAGATTGGGAACATCCTCAAATCCTCCACCGAGAAAAAAAAACACCTTCCCAATCACAATGAAATTAAAGAGATTGAGGGTTAGATCTCATTTTCAAACGCACCCACATATTATATGCTAGTATTGGTTGCATGTCCCATTTCATATTACCATAAATATGAGTAAATGGATTAGTTCAATCACCATTTTGTCGGTTCAGCCATTTGTTCGTTGATGTTGAATGTACATACCATAATCAATGTCTGAATCAACTCTTTATCATACGCAACCACTTATAAATGCAATCTTTTTTACCTCAGTAATACTCCTATCATGTACCAAGCTTTGTTTGTTCAATGTTGCAACTATGGTCAAATCCAACAAGAGCCATATCCTATCTTTATTATTGTCAGACCACCATTTATACCTATTGTCCCAATATATAGTAAGCATATCTATGTTATATCATAGTTACATCCTTATCATACTCCACTGATAGTTAGTTAGTGGCCCATGAGATACCATAATATCCAAATTACATCATCAATTGGATGCTTAAACCATCTTGAACCAAGGTAGTCAAAGCATGTCAAAGCCATAAATTGGAGATGTTCACCATGACATGCCACTATACGACATGTGTATTGCTACATGTTTTTTTTAAAAAAAATACCCTCTGATAATTTAACATAGCTATTGAAAATGGCCATTTTATAGCTGGGAAAACTCACTATTTCAATGGCCATGGCTTCAATAGCTTTTTGTTAGTTTACCGGAGGGTATATAGTAGATACATCAGAAAAAAATCCGTTGCCTAACCCCCTGACATCCACCAAGGCTTTTTTCACGTCCGCCTCCGCCCATCATCGGATTCATGGCCTCGCTGCAGAGCCCAGGGGAAGTCGACATGGGTTTCACCACCCAGGTGGACACTGAGAAACATGTGTTTCACATGTGTTTCACATGTGAAACGGGGGGTTTCTCAGTTGAGTTTTTCTATCGTTTTTCTATCTTGGTGGTTGGTGGTTGGTGGTTGGCCCTGGTTGGGCCCTGGTGGTTTCAACCTAGCCCTCTGAAAAATGATGTTTCGTGAGTTCGTCAGGACTGGGAGATTTTGGGAGTATGAAATTCCCAGCTGAATGGAAAAATAATAAATGTTCCAAACCACCAACCAAATGTTAGTGAAGCAATCATATTCCTCCCGTATTTTGATGGTGATTTCCCCATCCATAAACATGGTAATTTTGGGGATGGTCCACTATGGCTAACATCAATGGCACATGATGGTTAAGTTCCCCATTTCACCAGGCGACAGGGGATTTCAGATCGGGGGACCACCCTGCCTCTGCTTGGAGACTCTTTGCTGGTCCCACTGTCCGGCCCCGCTCTGAGCCAACAGCGACGTATTTTTCGGCAGAAATGGCTGGGTGGCTGGGTAGGCAATAGATCGGTATGTCACGGCATGGGAAGATGTCAGCAATTGTTCGCAAAAATATCATCCCATCATAAAACAGATTTCATTGGCAGAGAAAGTCTGGTTGCTGGTGGCACTAAATCCTGAAAAATATACTCTCCAAGAGGATTCATTGCTGGGTTATAGAGAGAAGAAAAATACCAACCTGACTCCAGTTGCTCAAGAAATTGAGTTCCTAAATTTCCTGGATTGCCTCCCTGAAATCTAACAGCTGTCATGTTAAACACCGGAAATTCTGTCGATTTGTTGACGTGGGATGGCCTGGAAATCAGATATTTTTTTGGCTCCAAAATTAGGGAGGTACATAGGGGCGAAAAAAACTGTGTTTTTTATTTGCGATGCGATTCTTGAACCCTGTGAACTTTGCTGAATTGTTGGGCTACAAATCCTTGGATATGAGAACTACTGTCCCGACTTTTGTTGATTAGCCTCCAGCAAAATAACATACACAAATGCATCGTTCATAATAATTGGATCATTGACTAGGGTTTTCTATGAGTTTTCCATATCCGGAGAATCAACATTTCAGACAAACCTTCAAGACCGGGGGGATGATACCTACAATCCCATCATGGTGACGCTCAGTGAGGTCCTGTTCCATGCTTGATTGCGAAAACGATCTAGAAATAGTTGGTTCTCCACATATTCGTTTACAGGAGGTAACATTTTAGCTGGTCGATTGATTTTCCCATTTGTAAAAGATAAGAGTATAAAGCTGCCGCTCATTGCTTTACTTATGATTTCAAGGATGCCCCTCGCCGTTTTAGCCGTCTAAACTTCAAACTCTGTAGGTTAAAAATTCAGTTTTCAATTCGAATTATCATGTTGCTTCATTATACAAACCCTAGGGTAAACTCACCTATGAAACATATTGAACAATGGGATGGTTTCCCTCGGAAATTATCTAGAAATGGGGATTTTCCATATCTATGTTTGGAAAAACAGTAGGGTATTCTACATTGATACAGAGCCTAAAAGGATCTAAAAGGAACATTAGGGTACTTTTTAATTAATAATTTTTGCATTTCCATATATAACAAAGTAACCATCTTACTTTTAAAAATTTACCCCCCAGCTTTTGACCAGGTAAATCCCCATATATTTTGTCGCTTCACCCTACAAATTGCTCCTGCCTCAGCTGTCCATCAAGGTCTGATAGATGAAGTCTCTGAGCGCATTCACCTGGGTCGGCCCGTTTTCGAAATTGCGCAGTTCGCTAAGTTTCGAAATTCCAGAAACTGTGCACTTTATGGTAGATATATATGTATATATGTGTATATATATATATATCCACCTTAGGTTACTGGGGTTATAAACTTAGTTTAAAAACCATTAGACTAACGGTTGATGGTTCAATATCTATATATCATGGAGTTGATAAACCAACTTCTGGTCAAACGCTTCGACCGTCGGCCTCTTTGCTGAGAAAGTGATGCCCCGAAATTGAAAGCAAAAAAATAGGGTTTCACTGACAGAAACGGTGATTAAACCAAGTTAAAATAGATGGCTGGCAGTGAGTTGGTTGAAATCTCCCTTGCGACAGGAAGATGGGAAACCCAATGCCATCAATCATCCCGTTAGCCAACTGCTTTGGGGTTTCTCTTAACTATTCATAAAACTACTTGGGGGTTTGAACTGGGTATACCCAATTTCATAAACCTCTATTGGGTATGGTTTGTGGCATTGACTTTACCATATCATACAGTTCTACCCCAATGACCAACCAGTGGCAAATCTCACACCCCATCGATCATCCGAGCGTCACTCCTTTTCTTCGGTGTAAACTTAGATATCTGTAAAGAAATGGAAGTGAACCTGCGCCCCAAAAGAAGTTTTCACTCAATTAAACTTCGGTCCCCCTAAAGAAAATTTTATGGTTGGGGAAACTTTGCAGGAAACCTTGACGACTTTGCCTTCATTGGTGGATGGCAAGCAAGGGCTCTCATGCCGTAGCGCCCTAGCACCGTAGCTTCGTGGGCACGGCCACGGCCACATCCGTGGATACATCTTCAGTCTATCGTCCCTCCATCGTGCCAGCTTGATCAACACAAGCCCTGAAAATTAAAAATTAGCTGGCAGTTGCATTGGAACAGTTTATGCAGAAAGTTTGGCTCTTTTGAGGATATCAAGTTCTTTGCATGAACTTAGCTATAGGTATTAGATATACCCTCCATTATTTATGAGGATTTCCCATTGCTACGTTTGATTACCAAATCGTTTGATTACCAAATGTTAATCAAAAACGTTTTTTAATAATGATGGGAGCTTGAATTCTAATCCCTTTATATCCCATTATATATATATTCCATTAAATCACCTTTGCAATCCCATGAAAGTAAATAGAAATTCATCACCACCATGCAATTTGCTCATTGTCCCCATGATATCCCAGTGTACACTAATTATAGAATTATAGATGATTACATGAATTACATGCATATTATTCATTTCCATCATGATTATTGGATTTTATCTCCATTCACGGACATGGACATACGTGCAGAGAGATTCATGCCATGGAGAAAATGAGCAATGTATTATCATTCGTAGATGATTTTACCACTAGACGGACGTCACCAAATGATAATATTAGATGATTAAGTGGGATGATGCAATTATATTATATTATATTATATGATATTATATTATATTAAATATTATTCTATTATATCATCTTTTATTACATTAAACTATATCATATTATTATATTATATTTTATTCTATTATATATTATTCTATTATATATTATTCTGTTATATTAAGTTTTATTATATTAAACTCTATTCTATTATATTATATTAAATTATATTTTATTGTATTGTATTATGTTATATAATATTATATTATATACTTTTATGTTATATTATGTTATATTAAATTATATATCTTTATATTACTTTATAGCATTTCATATTATATTAAATTATGCTGTATCTTTTTGTATTATTTTATAAAAATATATTATACTATATTATATTATATATTTTTTATATTGTATTATTTTATATTATATTAAACTATATTATATTATTTTGTATTATTTTATGTTATATTATATTTTTTTATATTATATTACATTATTTCATATTATATTATACTATATTGTATTATATTATATTATATTAGATTATACTATATTATATTATATACATATTGTCATGCTAAAATGGAGATGAATGCCATTAATGCCATTGGAAATGACCCACCCATGATTAGAGGGACCTCACCTTGCAAAAGGTTTTCGAATCGGGGGAGCCACGTTTTGCCCAGGTACAGTTGGATAGTCGAACAACAAGGCACCAGGCAGGGAAATGCCAGGGAATTCCTGGAGCGCCAAAAAATAGAGATTTAAGCCAGAGAAATGAAGGTTTTAATGGTTAATATTCAGGAAATCAATGGACATCATCTATAATTGGATGATTTCCTCCATTTATACTTGGGATTAATGGTGATTCATCATTCAACCATGAACAAGTCGTAGGGGTATAATTACCGGGGATATAATGGGATTTTCCCTCCGGTGTCAGCAAACATGGCAGGGGAATTTGTCTCCATGGGAAAATCATCTGAAAAATGGTGGATTTTCCATTGCCATTGTTTCTTTGGACACCATCATGAACCTGGATGATAACGAGTTTCCCCTGATTGATGGAAACTAACAGTAACTAACATCCCCATAATTTGTGGCCGGTGGTCCAACTATCACGATTTACACCAATTCTATCAGCTACATCACCATATATAGTTATAAGTCCCCACAAGAGGCTAACATTGGAAACGTCTAAAATACTTTTTTTTGTGTATTCCAACTGTATTCCTGGTGTATGTTGGAAACGTATTCCAAATGTATTGCCAGGAAGCCCCTATGAACCTAGTGTACTTCCATGGGGCTGATTGAAACACAGTTGAAAAGGCTGCTTGTTTGCTACCTTTCCCATCCTTTTGCTACAATCACCCCAGATACCTGGTCCTAAAAACTATATGGTGGATTAAACTTATATTTTGGGCGATAAAGTCAGCATTTTAGTGGCCAATGCGTGTTTTTACTCATCCTTCCCCCTCATATGAAACACCAGCCATGAAAGCATGGTGTAGTATTTGATCTATTCAGTTTTGAAGTTGACATGGAGGCTATTTAAGATTATACCGGCTGTATATAATATTTTTCCTAATTTCAGGATGGCTATAGCTATACGTAAAACCCATCATTTTGGACAGTTGGTTCCTCAAGTATCTCCATTTCAGGACGGCCAACCCCCATGTTTGATGATTTGCCACCCTATTTTCCATGTTTTTTTACAAAAACCATCAGTTGTTTCCACATCAGCTGCAGGTCACCCATCCGACGAAATCTCCTTGAGCAGCTCGTTTCGGAATTCCACCATGGACAGACTGTCCAGGCCTGCGACGAGACGGGCAAACAAGATCGTGGTTGTATGGCATAAATGCCCCAAATAGTGGTTTACCAAAAATATATAAACACACACACATATATATATATATCATTAGTGTCATTGTTATATTGTTATTATAAATAAATGTATATACAAATACACATGCATAACTTTCATTCTGTTTCTCTTTCTCTCTATAATTTTGTAAGGACACGAAATAACTTTTTTACCCTGGCTTCAGCATCAAATCTAGGAATGCAGTCGACGGCCCGACCCAACGAGATCACTAGCTACATCTCCTTGGCTTGAGTGGAAATTTTGGGAGAATCTCCCACCTTTTTGCCCATGGACAATATTGCTAGCTGTTTAAGGGCTACGGCATTCTCATCAAAGTTGTCAAGCATTAAATTGTTGAACTATCCTGCCCCCCCACGTTGTACATTTTTTTCCAGACTAAGCACACGCTTTTATGGATAAACTATCCTTCACCAGTCAATTTGCATATTGCCCATGTCAATCACCAACTCTGATGGTGCAGTTGAAGTGATTCCTGGGGCCATGGCCCAAGAATCCCCATACGTGGCTCCCCAGTGCCCAGCCACCGGTGCCACCTGCGTCCATCAAAGGCGTGTCCGCAGCGATGTTATCGTCGCCGACCAAGCTGGTCCTGGGCATTGCGGGATGGGAGTTGACCAAAGGTGCTGATCTATGACTCAAAACTGGGGCCAGTTTGTATGTGAAAATATTTCTTGAAAATTGGATAAATCCGGATAAACTCTGTACTTTTTCCGTTCGATCCATTTTGGGATACACTGGTTCCTCTTTTCGATCTTTTTGGCTGGGGATCACGCAAGACATGTCAGCATCCACCTGATTCTTGGAACCTGGTATTCTCTTCTAATATATCATATTAATATTAATTAAAACAACTTTATATTCTTCAAACTTCAGTAGTTCCAAGAATTCAAAGGGCTTAGTTCTCACGGGCTGGGCCGCCGCACGCCACGTCCTGGATTTGCACCTTGACCATCTCAGGTTCCTGGAGATTTGGAGATGGGTCGAAACTATGTAATTATATCATACATCTAGAAAACATGTATGTAAGATACTATGTTGACATGTTGAAATAATATATCTCTAGAGGTATGTATATTATGTAAGCTCCTGATATATATATATGATTATATATATATATATGTGTGTGTTTTCGATATTTTCTTTCAGGGATGTTTTAACTAGCAACCGCAACCAACAGCAAGGATTTATGGGGAACCTACAGGGATCTAATAGGATATAATAAACCTTAAACAACAAACAACTTTGGGGATGGACGCCCACTTGGTACCGACAATTTCTATGGGGAACCATGGTAAAACACAAACCATTCTACATCAAAACCGTTCATAACCGGACAACGCGATTTTCGAGGTGATTTCATGAACTGGCTGGTGGTTTTAACCCCTCTGAAATATATGCTTGTCATTGGGGATCATTCATCATCCCAAATATGGTTGAACACAAAAGCAATTGACCCTACCAACCAGTGAAGTATTGGTTTTACATATTAATTGTTGGAGTTGATAGTTGGAATTAGTGCCCAATAAAGACCATTTCAAATATCTTAATCTTATCATTGCTAGCCACTAGTAAATCCCAATTCTTGTTACCATCTGGTTATTTAACATAGCCATGGAAAATCCACCCATTTTTAAGAACGGTAAACCATCTATAAATGGGTAATTTTCCATGGCAAACTGTTGAACAACCAGAGGGTAGGTAAATCCATATGTTTCCCGGTAAAACCGGGTAAAATCACTATTTGTCCCTTGTCACATCCTGGCCCTTGGGTCACCCCACGATCTTCGGCTTACCCACCGCCGCTGGTGCTGCCGAGGGGGCGCCGGGGGCCATGGGGGCCATACCTGCAAAGGTGGCATGAGAAGCAGAAATGACAGGATTCTACCATTGACTATAGTTATAGTGTTGGTTTTATATAGTCAACTATAGTTATTTGGTTGGTGGTTTTAACCATCTTGAAAAATATTAGTCAATGGGAAGGATTATCCCATATATTAAATATATTATGGAAAATAAAAGTCATGTTTGAAACCACCAACCAGTAGCTAATGGTATAACTATTCTAGTGTTGGGTAAATGCTGAACATCACCCACTAAGTCCATAGAACCGGTGATAGGTCGAAAAAAGTTGGTCCTTTTTTTACCACTAAAGCAGGCGAATTGAGCGCACACATTGGAATTTTAGCGGCCAACATGGGTGGATTTCATCAGAAACAAAAGGGATCTGATCAGCAAGAAATGATCATTTTGGGATCATGCATCATGCCCAGTTCGCAGCGTGTGGTATTGGTGGATGGCATTGACAGTTCGCTGAAAGTAACCTGCATAATCCCAGTCCCAACCCCAACGCATGGCAGGTGGGAACTGTTCATTTTGCGGAAGTGTAATTGAGCAAGTAGTGCCATATATATGTTTTAACTGATTGCTGGTGATCCACAAACATGTGAATCAACCCGCCCAATTGGTGAAGCAATCTCACCCAACAAAAAAGGATTTTGACCTGATAGACTGATAGATAAAAATAGGGCCAGCTGTCCCAGTCTGGGCCCACTTGGATTTAAGTGTGTAGCTCCTATTCAATTTATATGTCTTCACATGTCTTCACTAAATATATTTCAAAATTTCCCTGTTCCAGGGCCCCCAAAAGAATATTTCAATCTAAGCCATATGTTCATGGTAAAAACAACAATGATTTTTGAATCCGTGTTTCTTGGCTGGTGAAATCCGTTAAAACCCAGATTAGACACATGCATATCCCCTAAATCTGGTGCAATCCAATTTTTTCTTGGTTGCCCTGAGAAAAACTAAGATAGATGTGGAAAATCACCGTTTTAAAAGGTACCTCATACATCCTCATACATACATGGTCTATTTCCCATCATTTTCCACATCAATGTCAACGTTTACCCTAGGGTAAGTCACCGTTTTTGACCAGTGAACTCCTCATTTAGTCCATGGCCGCCTCCACCCGGTGGCCGCGGCATGGGCCCTCTAGGCTTAGGCATGTTGGGCATGCCCATGGGCATATCCTGCGAAGGAAATGCTGGAGTTGAGGACATGTCTGGAAATCAATTGACAATTATACATCTTTGAAGACGTATATGATAGGGATATTCTTAGGATATAGAGTGCCTCTCTCTCTCTCTCTCTCTCCTGGTTTATCATCATTTTCCCCGTTGAAATTGCCATTCAAACACACCCATAAACCAATGAACATTGGAGACAAGAACCAAGATCCACCACATGGTGGATTAACCAATAGGGATATCTTGGGAGACCCAAGAATCCTTGATTGATGGCAAAAAAACACCCTGACCTTCTAGATCTAATTGTGATCCCATTGTTGACGCTTATGTATTCCACTATATCCCATCATGCCCCAATAACACAGTGACTTTTGTAGGCATCTTTCTTGGTGCAATATTCCAAGGCGAAAAACACTAGTCAATTAGATGATTAAACGCCACTTCTGTTCAATCATGTTATATCATATCCCATTGATGGAATCCTCGATTTTCGATCACCGTCCATTTACAATGCTCTTCCCCATATTCTTTCCAATTTCTTCCTATGTTTTTCAACCCTCTAATGGGTATCTCAATACATAAATGTATATGTTCCAAGATTTTCCTATAGAATGGTGATGATTTTCCCGGTATTTACAATGGTTTTCCCCTATTTTTTGCCATTGGGAAGGAACAGTTCCCACGTTCAGCCCCTGGCCCCTGGCACCGGCATGGTTGGCATCATGGTGGAAGGCGGCGCCGATGGAATGCCGCCGTCCGCATCTTTCCTGTTTTGGCCCATGTCAGTTAAAAAAAGGATCCACCATCCTCAAACTTACCATGTTTATGGGTGATATAAACAAGTATAAACCATCAAGATCTGGGGGGTTATAACGTTGCTCTAGTATGCTCTATTAATATTCACTATAAATGATGGGAAATTACCACTCAAGTAATGGGTTTTCCCATAAATTTAACAATCCATCTTATGCAGTAATTTGCCATCAATCTTGAATTTTTGCAGTGCCTCATGAATATCCATGACTTTTGGATGGTAGTAACATAGCCATCAAATATAGTAGGCGCAGGTGACTTGGGACCTTGCGGCCGGTTTAGAATACAATATCTGTTTGCACATGACACGGGATTTAGGTATCATTTTAGCTATGCTTTTGTTAAATATACATGAGATGGGAGTTCTGCGCTTGCCTAATGAGAAGGGACTCCCCTGTTTTTTGACGCATGACATGGGAAATTTTGAGAATGAACTTGGCACTTGCACGAAAAACATCTCCAAACCCTTTTTCTCCCACGTCGAACGCTGCTTTGAATTGTTCTCAAGAGTGGGGCGGCGAGGGTTTAACGGTTTGGGAAGGCCCAAAATGAAGCATGGGGAGGGGTTTGGGCTGCCCATGCTTCGCAAGGATGCGGTGGAAAGCGTTTAGGACCTTAGGAAGGATCAAAACGAACCATGAAAAAGGGGTTGGGTTTTTCATGGTTCCAAGAGTGGGGTGGAAAGGATTTGGATATGGAGGCGGTTCAATGCGCACCTCAACAACAACTTCTTGTTGTTGAGGTGCGTTGGGAAGAGGAATTTACCACATCAGATGGGACTTCCAAGGTGGGAATGGCAGGTACCGAGGAAGGCTCACAATAAAGCATCGGGAGAGGCTTGGGCTGCCCATGCTTCCCAAGAACGGGGTGGAAAAGGTTTAAAACCTGCAAAGTTGTTTATTGCTCATCCGACCTATCCAAACAATCCGGCCTATCATTGGTATCAGTTTTCCTCGGCTCAAGCTGTTGGATTGCCTCTGAGAACTGCTTGATCTCTGACACATCTGCCCCCTTTTTTAATGCGAAGATCCAAATGCGCAAAATGAATGCCCTTTTACATTGGTGATAAAGTGATACCTCCAGTATACCACCATAAAAATGGATCATTCCCATTGCCGCTTGCATATCTCGATGTTCTTGGATGTTGGTTATATCCCCCATTCCAAGATATTCCAAGGCCTACCCAGTTTTCATTCCCAATATATAGCAGCTACATACCAAATGTTTTTAATCCTTAATCTCTGGTAATCATTGGTTTACATCACTGATGGCTATATACCCATTAAACGTTGTTAGTTATAAATGTTATAAGTCCCCATTTGGATCCATCAAATCACTTTTTTGATGCTTAAGCCACCCAATCTTTCCCCATCCCTTTTTTACCCAATCCCAAATTATATCACCATTGAAGTTGATTCATAGTTAAAACTGATTTCTCTTATGATTATTTAGCCCCACATGGATAATATTCCTTATTTTCAATGAAATAGATAAAAACATGTTATATCCCAATGGTACTCCTTCTTAAATCAGAATTAAAGTGGTAAACCCAATAACAAACAGACAAACACCCCCCCAAAATCACAATAAATGGGTGGTGCACCACTCGTGAATGGTTGGTTCATTGCAGCCAGGGTTGTCCACTATCTGCCATTGTTCACCCTTGTTTCCTTGATCGATTCCCCATTTTGAAATCCAATGAAATCATCAACGAAATTATCATGAAACTCGATATCCACAAAACATCCCAAGTATATGTCATTCTTCCCTTATCGAATTCCCATTGATACCCATTTTACCATTCATTGTCGGGAAATACCCATGCATGGCGATCAATATTTAACATTTTGATATGGTTGATTGTAAAATTGTATTATTGCCTTGGCTCTGTCTTACAGTGGACATCCTTGCCAAACATGTTGCTTCTCGGATCCAGATAAGTCATTTGAAACTCCCACGAGACTTGGGGAAGGGCTACTGGTGGTACCATAACAAATAAACAAAGTCCCCATCTAGTTGGTGGTTTGAACCCCTCTGAAAAATATAAAACATGTATAAAAATGTTCCAAACCACCAACCAGATAATAGTTGGACTATAGTTGGTTTTATTATGGGTATTATGGTTATTATATGGACTATAGTTGGTGAATGATCGTTGATAATTGGTTATAAACCAGCCATAAACTAACATAGCTATGGAAAATCACAATTTTCAATAGGTAAATCCACTATAAATCACCATTTTCAATAGCAAACTGTTTGTTTACCAGAGGGCGACATTCCCAGGGACCGCCTCTTTATCTTGTTCAATGTTGAGGGTATATCCCATGAATATCCCATTAATATCCCATTAAATCACTATTAAATCCCATTAATATCCCATTAAATCACTATTAAATCCCATTAATATCCCATTAAATCACTATTAAATCCCATTAATATCCCATTAAATCATTATTAAATCCCATTAATATCCCATTAGATCACTATTAAATCCCATTAAAATCCCATTAATATCCCATTAAATCACTATGAAATCCAATTAATATCCCATTAAATCACTATTAAATCCCATTAATATCCCATTAGATCACTATTAAATCCCATTAATATCCCATTAATATCCCATTAAATCACTATTAAATCCCATTAATATCCCATTAGTATCCCATTAGATCACTATTAAATCCCATTAAAATCCCATTAATATCCCATTAGATCACTATTAAACCCCATTAAAATCCCATTAATATCCCATTAGAACACTATTAAATGCCATTAATATCCCATTAATATCCCATTAAATCACTATTAAATACCATTAATATCCCATTAATATCCCATTAAATCACTATTAAATCCCATTAATATCCCATTAGATCCCATTAAATCACTATTAAATCCCATTAAAATCCCATTAATATCCCATTAAATCACTATTAAATCCCATTAATATCCCATTAGATCACTATTAAATCCCATTAATATCCCATTAGATCACTATTAAATCCCATTAAAATCCCATTAATATCCCATTAAATCACTATTAAATCCCATTAATATCCCATTAATATCCCATTAAATCACTATTAAATCCCATTAATATCCCATTAGATCACTATTAAACCCCATTAAAATCCCATTAATATCCCATTAGAACACTATTAAATGCCATTAATATCCCATTAATATCCCATTAAATCACTATTAAATGCCATTAATATCCCATTAATATCCCATTAGATCACTATTAAACCCCATTAATATCCCATTAAATCACTATTGAATCCCATTAATATCTCATTAATATCCCATTAAATCACTATTAAATCCCATTAATATCCCATTAGATCACTATTAAATCCCATTGAAATCCCATTAATATCCCATTAAATCACTATTAAACCCCATTAATATCCCATTAATATCCCATTAAATCACTATTAAATCCCATTAATATCCCATTAGATCACTTTTAATTTAAATCCCATTAAAATCCCATGAAATCACTATTAAATCCCATTAAAATCCCATTAAATCACTATTAAATCCCATTAATATCCCATTAGATCACTATTAAATCCCATTTAAATCCCATTAATATCCCATTAAATCACTATTAAATCCCATTAATATCCCATTAATATCCCATTAAATCACTATTAAATCCCATTAAAATCCCATTAATATCCCATTAAATCACTATTAAATCCCATTAATATCCCATTAGATCACTATTAAATCCCATTAATATCCCATTAAATCACTATTAAATCCCATTAATATCCCATTAGATCACTATTAAATCCCATTAAAATCCCATTAATATCCCATTAATCACTATTAAATCCCGTTAAATCCATTAATATCCCATTAAATCACTATTAAATCACTATTAAATCACTAAATTAATTGTTGATCACCCATGGAAAGTCGCCCAGGCACGAGCTCTCCACCAGGTCGAAGATGCCCTCGCAGAGCGACACGCCGAAGTCGTAGCCTGGACGACTTTTTCGACAACGGGGGGATGCCGGGGCTGGGAAAATGCTGGGAAAATGGTGATTCATATGGGATTTCATGAGATTTCATGAGGATCCATCATCCAAATCATCCAAAATGAAGATGTAGCCATGATTTAATGGTGATATTTTTTGGGAAAATAAAGGTGATTTAAGCCATAACCATGGAGGTTATAATGATCATTTTAAAGGAAACCATTTCTATAGTTAGTTGGATTTAATGCGAAAACCATGGGATAATGGTCTATAGATGGTGTATCATGGGAAAACCGTGGGGGATATAAATTAACAATAATTGGGTGATTGTCTCTATTTAATTGAGCTCAATGAGCCATCCAGAATGGTGGATAATATGGGATGATAGGTTTTTTTCCCGTTAATGGGTGTATATGGAACATTTCCTGGTGATCAAACATCAGCATATGAGTATGGGGGGATGGAACATGTGGAGTTTTTCTGGGAATTCATGGGAAATCCCATCAGGATATGTGGAAACATAATGAAAAATATGGCTTTGCTCATGGCAATTTGCTCATCAGTAATCCAATTTGCTGAGAAATTTCCGGAACATGTGCATGATGTGCATATCATTTTCATGGCGATATTTGCTAGGCATGTATATCATGGGAACATTTTATGGGGTTGTATGATACATCACAAATATCACGTCCGTATATGGGATCAACTCGAAAAATCTGCAGGACATCTGGGGCGCAACCCGGGACCATCACAGGATCGACTGGCCCGAGCAATCACCGGTGAGGTCGACGTGGACGTGAGATCCTGTTGTCGCGTGACATTCATCAAACCTTTCAGGTCCCGAAAAATCGCCTTTGCACGATCCAGGCCGCTGCACGCTGGGCAAAGTCAAATTCCTCCTTGAGGATGGGAACATATCCAGAAGCCTGGATTCATGAAGATTCCCTGTTTCTAGTGGATGAATAAAGACGACAATGATGGATACTAATGCCTGGTGCCACAAAGGCATGTGGTGCCATATGCATCGCTTGGGACCCTGGGCGTGGGTCAAAAATTGGAAAGCTAAGAACCCTTTCTCGAGAAAGAGACATCCAGATCTTTTGGTAGTCGACTTAAACCAATCCACTGAGGTACATACTATAACCCAGAAAAAGAGGTTTCAACCAGCCGAATCAATGTAAGCAAATCAATGGGAATATGTGAACATTTAGTGGGCATGGAGGGATAAATGGGAACATGTGGGAATTCTCACACCTTCCTTGGACTACAATCGCCCATGGGAACATACCTAAGGAGCATGGGTCTATAAGGTTACGTATATAATCTAATTATGAGAAAGAGATGAAAGATTGGAAAAACAACATTAAGGTTCAAACAAGGTTTGTCGGTTTTGAGCTAGAAACCCCCACGAAGAACATATTTCCAATAAATTCCACAGAATTCGGATTACCCGATGGGAAGTGCACAAATCGCATTTAGCCGATTGAGAAATCCGGCTGAAATATGCTAATTCAAATTCACGGACCTGAAGCAAAGCTATTTGGGAACCATTGCCCGCATCCTAACCATCATTCCAGTGACGTCGCAAATCGATATATAAGTCATAGCCGGTATGGTTTATCCAGATTTCTCCAGATACATTGTTGCTTAAATCCTATTTAAGCCCACATGTCGTTGGCGAAATCCCATTTCATTAAAACAAATCCATCTGTGTTGCTCCCCAAAAAATTAAAGAAATAACACCACTACATCCTACTATTGTACATCCTATGATATGCTATTTCTCTGAGATAATGGTCACCAGGACCGTCGTCCGTGCCTATGTCCTTGGACTTGGCGTTGGCGTTTTCGGCCTGTTGTGGAACCCCTGATGGGAAAATGATGGGAAAATGGTGGGAAAATGATAAACCCATTGGAAGATATATGAAAATAATGTTGCCTTCCTTCTATGGGCGAAATGTATTAACTACACATTATGTAGGATCCTGCTGCTGCTCAATCAAACAGAACTTCTTCTTACATCCAGGCACATCCGGGCACTGGTCCTTCTGCACAAGCGTTCCTATGAACGCTTCTGGTGCTGAGATATGGTGGGGTTGCGCTCCAGGAGCCTTGCGATTCCAGTTCAATCCAACGGCACCGCAGTAATGAATTTCTAGCATTGAATTGGCATTGTCTTCTGGATATCGATCGGCGCCGCCGATCGGTCTGTACTCGCACAGCTTCATGCCCTGGGACCACCAAGTAGCTGCACCAGATTCCTCCAGGGTCTGGATGGCTTTGAAGCTAAGAAAGTTGTCAAATGCCCATCGATCGCCAATGATGTCCTAGAACGAACAAAGCGAACGAACATGTTCGCAAAGCATTCAAAGGCTGCGTACCATGTAATTGCCTACAAGGAAACCTACGCGCACACCAGCAGCCAAAGGCGTGCCGTGGTTTCTTGTGCGGGTCAGGATTAGGGAGCCTTCCTGCGGTCTGATGCCATGCTGGTGATTTGGATTCAATGCACTTTCACAAAATGTGAATACATGAGCAGGCGCCTGAAGCTTTTGACAAAATATCCACTGTCATACTTATATGTATATATTTATGTGTAATGTAATGCAATGCAATGTGATGTATGTATGTAATATTTTAGTCTTTACATGTGTGTTTTGAATAGCTAAGTCTTGCGTATTCCATGTTTAGTGCACCCCAACCCCAACCCTCGCAAAAAAGTGCTCAGAGTTCTATGTTGCCAGCTTCATGGCCAAAAAAAGCCAAACCGAGGCGATTTTTAGACATGTGCCCTGCATTAAACGTACAGAAAAATGTGGGAAACCTATGGTTTCCCCAGGATTTTTCTGGTTCCTCAGTTCATGGGAAAGTCATAGGAAAACTGCCCCCCCCAGGTATGGCCATGTTGGTTTATGAAGCCACTAACTAGTTTGATACATATATATATACATAATATCTACCATACACCATGGTTAACCTAGTTCAAAACCAAATTGGACATCTAGCGGGTCTTACTTTATATCTATCAATGGGATTTATGATATAGTCACTGGGTAAATAATGAGAAAACATGGGAGTAATCTCTGGTTGATGGAAAGTAGTAGTTATGGAGATGGAGATATCTAGAGTTTTTGGCGGGTTTTAAACCACACGTGTGAAAATCATGCAACAAATCACCTATGATTGGCATGCAATGGGGATATTTTATGCGATTATAAACAAACAATACTGGGGGTTTACCCTCCGGTGTCATCAAAGAGGTTTTAACTCAAATTCATGGGACCATTTCCCGTTTGGGATAAACATTTTGAACTTGCATTTCTGGCCAAGACACACAGTATTCGCATTGTCCCCACATGGCTAACAACATGGGACAACAACAAATCATCTTCAGCAACGTAGTCCCGTCCCTGGTTCATATTCCATTTTTTTTGACACCCTCAATCAAGGATCAGTTTCCATATCCAGTACTAAATCATGGTTTCCAGGAGGATGTTCAATATTGGGGAGGAGATGAATCATTGCAAAGTTACTCTTTTCGATCGTATTGCAATCCAATGTCGAAGTTTGGTGGAATAGCCCTTTAAGTTTGGTTGACCACATTGCGTCTAGCCTGAATATGTCTGCTACCCAAGCTTGAAAAGTTCACTTTTTCCAGATGTAACCATAGTAAATGTAATTCTTTTTTGGTGATGTTCCACCCTGCAAGTAAGCAAATAACCAACTTAGGAAATCCGGATATACTAACCAATAAGTCGTAACCCAAATCATCTCAATATAAGCCATGAACACAGCGTAGTTCCAAACACATGCTGATGACATCTTAAAAATGACAGTGAACTTCCACATTTTGCAACTGTAGTTCCAAGTTGTTTCTATTGACTAACTACAAAACAATGTCTGGTAAAATCACGAAAATTTTGCTGGTCCAACTGTATTGCTTTTAAGGCAACTTTTCGTAGCTCCTTGGCTCCCCATTTAACAGGGACTATGGATACTGCTCCTTAGCTTCCCAACCTCCTTCTTGGCTGTGAGCATGTCGTGTCTCAGGATGGCGACCTGAAAAAAAGCGTGACTCGGAAAGGCAGGATGGAGCCTTTTTTTGGTGATATATAGTCATTTATAATGATTTTGAATAGGTTTCTGATGGTTTACACAGTACAGTACATGTTGGATTTAATGTGGATTAAGCAAGCCATCGGAAAGAGGGGCCCGCAAAATACATCAAAATACCAGCTTGTAATGTGCAATTGACACAGGAATCAACGACTCCCCACTAGCGTAGACCAAGCTCAAAGGGACATCAATTCACAAATACTTAGCATCCCAAGATGTTTGTACATATCATATATATATATAAATATATATATATATATCATATATCTTTCTATCCATCAATTTTTGTACCTATTTAATTGTTCTTCTATCTACCTTTCTATCATGTAATCATCCGGGGTACACTATAAATCTACTTCACTGGCTATATATGGCCACTGGAAGGGACCTGCTGGCTTTCACTCCTACCTTTAGCACGTTCAACGTCCAATCTTTTTAGCAGGGCCTTTTTTTAATAATTTCAATCTTTCTTAAAACTTCAAACACAAGTTTTTATTGCATAACTTAAAATGAATTAGTATATTGAAAATGAATCAACAAAGAAAGAAACAAACAACTGTGGGTTCATTCACAAATCAAACATGGGTTTTTCAGAAAGGTTGAACATGATTGAACATGATGGAACCATAACTTACATCATATCCTTTTCTACACGGCTGAACTCCACTGAGTCTGCCGTGCGTAGGAGCGCAGGATGTATCCAATGATCTGCCCCGTCTCATCCTGGCGCACACGGCACTGGCTTCTGCAAACCGGCTGGAGATGGGACACATTGAGATTTGCAGAAAAACATAATCTATATATATATATATCAATCTATGGTTTTTATGATGGTTGCAGACGGTCAAAAACCTATGTGAGCATAGTTTGAGCTATTTTTGGTGATGCACTATGGTTGAAACTAAGAAACACGGTGAAACATGGGGACTTCAGCCACCAAAAATGATCCAAAAATCATCAAACATGCCATTTGCAGGCCTGAAATGATGATCTTTAGTCGTCAATCCTCCAATCAGATTTATATCTCAACGTGCTTGGGCGTTGAATTTTGACACATGCGCATGACGCCAAACTTTCTTCAAACATGATATGACATATTCATCAAAATGGTTGTCAAACTTCTCCACATCATGCCCTGGTCGCTTTATGCAAAATTTGTTTGGGATATCACCAGTTTTGTAGCTTCAAATCTCCATTTTTGAAAGCACCCTCCTCCGCCACAAACGTTTGATAGCCTTTCACATTCACCAATCGATTTACCCAGCTCTGCCCCCATTCGCTGGTCGAATCCCCTCCCAACTTTCAATCAACTCGCCATTCACTGGGCGTGCCCCATATTTTGAACTCCCCATGTTTTATGGATTCCCCTCTGGGATTTCAGTGTAACACATGACAAAAGTGATAAAACGATATAAAACGGAGCATAATCCATAAAGATCAATCTATCAATCCCATCGTGTAGCTTTTTTTCCTAGCTATTTCCATCCCATCCCCGACGTCCGCCTGGCCCTCTTGGCAAATGACTTCACCCTCCTGGACATGCTGCATGGCCTGGCCATCCATTGATGCCATGTGGTGCCGCGTAGTTAGCTAAGATCAACGCTTGGGTAGTAGTAGATATATCGCACGTTTGTTAATGGGATATAACGCTAAGCTTGTTAAGTAGCACTCCGTGGGCAAATTCTGCAGGCACCCTTCGATGCAGCCAGCCGACGACAGTGACGAGGCCATCGAAGCTTGAGCTGCAACCATCTTATTCGTCGTCGGGCTCTGACTCCGGCTCTTGGTCCCTGTCCACGGAGTTTTGGTCGACCTCTGTTGCTGTTGATTTTGATTTCTTCGTTGTAGCCAATTGCCACCCTCAGTTGCAAGTCAGCAAATCATATAATGTCAATGCATTTTTAGGAGTGCTGCTGTACCCTTGAACCCAGCTTAAAACTCAAAAATGGCATCTTGTCAGTGACTATGTTGCAACATGTTGCAACATATTTTTTGGGGTTTGTAACGGCCTATACATTTTTTGACGAAACCATTGAGCGACGCACTAATATTGTGGTGAGCGACTGAAATTTGCCTACTAGCAACTCCAACCAAGGTTGTACCCTCTGGTAATTTAACATAGCTATTGAAAATGGCCATTTATAGTGGATTTTCCCATTAAAAATGGTGATTTTCCATAGTTATGTTAGTTTACCAGAGGGTAGGTTAAGTTTACCCATCGAAAGGTCCTGCATTTTTTATTCACCAGGTTGGACTGTCAAATCAATCAATGATTGACTGGTAGCGGGCCTCATCAGCATCCTTCACGGCCAAAAAGGTCTGGGCCTCGTTTTGGGGCGGACACATCCCCGAAATGTCACGAACATGGTCCATTTGTAGATGATTTACCTTTTAAAAACATTTGACACCTGTTCAAATATAAAAAACAGTGATTTTCCGTAGCTATGTTGAATCACCTGAGGATAATACCACACAACATGTTTATGCAGACGGACCTTTTACCGGCCCACAAATTGGGGTGGGGTGGGGTGTGATAGCATTCGTCACTACTGCAAGACATGATGTGAAGCTACGCTACGCATTCGTCACTACTGCAAGACATGATGTGATGCTACGCTACGCATTCGTCACTACTGCAAGACATGATGTGATGCTACGCTACGCATTCGTCTCTACTGCAAGACATGATGTGATGCTACGCTACGCATTCGTCACTATGATGTGATGCTACGCTACGCATTCGTCACATGATGATGCTACGCTAGGCTCGCTACGCATGGTGGGGTGGGGTGTGATAGCATTCGTCACTACTGCAAGACATGATGTGATGCTACGCTACGCATGCATAGCATTCGTCACTACTGCAAGACATGATGTGATGCTACGCTACGCATTCGTCACTACTGCAAGACATGATGTGATGCTACGCTACGCATTCGTCACTACTGCAAGACATGATGTGATGCTACGCTACGCATTCGTCACTACTGCAAGACATGATGTGATGCTACGCTACGCATTCGTCACTACTGCAAGACATGATGGGAGGCTACGCTACGCATGATGGGAGGCTACGGTACGCTAGGCTACTGGAAATTGATGAAAAAGTCAATTCCAGACAGCATTCGTTCCCAAGTCCAAGGCAAACGCAATGGTTTGTTGTTCAAATACATTCGAAGTCACCAATGGAGATGGGAACACATTGACTTCGACTTGCTGACCGCCACTGGCGAAGCTGTAAGATCTCTCATGCGGTGAAGAGAAAAGACCACTTTGATCGTTCGCCGGGTTTTGAAGCACAAAACCCTGCAAGGGTTGCAAACCACACTAAAACGGATGTTTTTTTTCATGGTTGTTTCCCACATGAAATCGAGCTGGCGCCACAGCGAAACAATAATTTTTAAGCAATCATGGGCCGGTGCCAGGTCCGCTGGGATGTTTATGTGCAATAATTGCTTTTTTTTTTTGGCGCACCGCGCAAAAATCTCCCAGAAACCCTCATGTGCAATTGAAATCGCCCCGGGCGGGTTCCAGGTCTGCCATCTTCTGTGTCTTCATGAGCACGGTAGGTTTCTTGGGTTTTCCGCATTGCCATATTCTGCCATTTTTTTTCTTGAAGGATGTCTTCTTTGTTGAAGGCATATTGCCGCTGCAAATCCTGGGACGTGACGCACCACAAGGCGTCAACGAAGTCAAGCTAGATGCGTGGGATTGAAAGAACTTTACATCTCTTTCCGCCACCTTTGAACACGGCGCTTCTCTAAGATGCATGTTATTGGTGAAATTCTGTTTCATGATGCGTAGTTGTTGCAGGGCTGCGCTGTGCGGAAGGACCGCCCCACACACTATCTCCTTAAGTGGCGATGAGGTGAGAAACCTCAGACATTCTGCTGTTACAAAATGTAAGAGTTGAAATTAAATCAGAAAGCAGGGACAAAACCAGAGACTGTGGTATGACATTGTATAGCATTGTTCCATGTTGGTGTTTGTGGGGGTTTCTTAAACATGACGATGGAATCCATCAGGTGAGACCCAGCATCGACAACCAAGCAAAGCCTTTGGATTTTCAGGATCTGCTGTCACTTGGGCCTTGTCAGGATCTGTCAGGTACGTCATGGGATATTCTTAATGCATTGCAACAAGGAACCCATGAACCCATGCCATCTTCTGGAAAGAACTTCTATCCCCCGAAGGAGTTATTTCGATATTCAGAAGGGATTACTTCGAAACTGTTTTGCCGACAGACTTTTAGGTCAACCCATGTCAACCCCCTGTTTCCTGCCATATCTCCATGAAGGCGTTTTGTCAACTAATTATGCTGCTTACTTCACCAGCCGTGTTACCAATGTTGATAATATCCAACTTGATACTTCTTCGAATCGGTTCAATTCACCATATATAATGGTTACCCTAATACGCATTTACCAATCCCAATCTTATCCCATTAATGACGTCCGTCAAATCCAGCAATCCAGTCACGAATCATTGAAGATCAACCTATATATCTGGATGAATCGTTATTCACAAAGCTGACATAAGACCATCCCGGTTCAAGCACCGTTGGACCGTTATATAGATCACATTAAATCTGATTCTTCTTTTAAATCCATCCACGCCTACCTGCAATAAATGTGTTTTTTTTTTGAATCCTGGATGAAGCTTTTGAAAGGACCGGGGTCCCAATCCCAATCCAGGTGGCCAAATCCTAGAATCCACCAAGTGAAGCATGAAATTCCAAAACCGTAACATCCAAAAAAACTTTCCATTTATCAGTTGGAATCATTCCAAATTACAGAACCATTTATCAGGTTGAACCATTGATCTCCAGTTTCTTGTCAGTTCAATCTGATTCCAAATCCCATCTTTGTCAAAATCCCACGAAAACTCACCATTTTTCCACATACCCTCTGGTTATTTAACATAGCCATGGTATAGGGCCCATTTATAGATGATTTTCCCAGCTAGAAACCTCCATTTATAAGGGATTTTCCATGGCTATGTTAGTCATAACCAGATGGTATTTCTTGGTATATAAATCCCACGAGTATCCAGTGCTGAATCCTTTGAGTTCAGCTCCGGACTAACAGGAAGGCGATGGGCGCCAGTAGCGCCTTGGCTCGCTCCGACTTCTCTTCTTCGTAGACGGAATGCCTCAGCTCATGCGCGTCCGGCATTCGGTGGGTCCTTTTTTTGCTGCTCTGGTAGAGCTGTAACCAGCAGAGATGGTGATTTTATGGTGATGAACGAAGATGTAATCAACAAACATGGATGAAAATGGTGATGTTAATACACATTAATACGATTTACCCTGGCACTTGGAAATCCCCGAACTAAATTGAGGTTTATAGCTGGGAACATCATCTAAAAGGGGAAATTTCTCCGCTTGATTACCATGAGAGTAGGTGGTGATTCTTAATCAAGCAAAATGGAAATTTAAAACTTAACACATTAGAACTAATTGTCATGTCACAGGGTTTTTTTGGTGATTACAACTATATTTAGATGGAGTTTCAAACCAACAAAACTAACTAGGCTACCACCCTGTGGGTGTTTTATTCCAATGATCAGCATTTAATGGAAACTTTCTCAGTCTAAAACTGGCTGCAAAGATGCAGCGAGTAAAAACTTGGCTCCAATATATCTCTCAGCGCTACTGCTGATCTCTGTTGAAACTCAAAAAGGGCTGCCGTACATGAAACAACATGATAACCCTAAGTGAAACCTAGCTAGACATCCGTACATCGCAACAAAAGTGCTCGAGGCAACAAATCTTGCCCAGCGCTTATGCCCTTTCAAGTTCATTGCTGGAAGCCCTAGATTTAACCAATGTTTGTTTGTCATAGCAGTTATGCCCAATAAGTAGAATCCATGCAAAGAACTTTACCAAGGTTTTGGCAAGTTGAACTATCAACCATCAGGTCCTGAATTCACTTTCCATCCTCTGACAGTAAACGCAAACAACCATGAAAACTAAGCAGCTGCTGGTAGGTATAGTTGGCATCGTAGAAACCAAGAAAGGAGCCAACCATGTCTGAATGAAACGAATTACTTTGGACGACTATCCAAGAAATGGCACATGGATTACCAAGTACCTACAAATAGTATTGTCGGATTCCTTGGCCAAACATAGTTCACCTGAAACAAGAACCCCAAAGCCGACACAAAACACCGGAATTTCTTTGTCGCGATTTCTGAGATGACCGTGCCACCCGTGGACTAATTGAATTTGCCAGTCATAGAGGGGGGGTAGCTCCAGCAATTTTTGGCACCATCCCCATAGAGGGGGGGCTCAGTAATGGTAGCCGCTACTTGTATGATTACCCCATCAGCATCTCATAATTCAATAATTAGCCAAGCATTACCCAATATGATTCCACTTACATCATCCCTAATATTTCCTACTTAAGTCCTACTTACTACCAGCAAGTGGTTTGGAGAATTTTAGTAGCTTTTAGGCTGCCCCATGAGGAATATGGATACTCATTGCTCCTTACCTCCCTCCTTAGACAACTGGGTTTACCTACACAATGAACGCTTGGAAATTATGAGCTAGATATTGTCAACAAAGCATCCTGGAAACACTATAGTCACTATATTTCATGCAGCTTATATTGCAGCTTTCATTGCACCATCGCTGGATCTGCCACAACGGGAAGCCCTGCGCAGCATCTCTTGCTCGCCAACCAGCCTTGAAATCCAGCAAGACTCAGGCAACTTATCCAAGGTGTTTAAGCATCAACACTGGGTGAAGATATAGGCAAAAAAATGGAGTTATCATTGATTGATAACTGGGCTAACGGATTAATCTCGTGATGCGGTTGTAACCAAACTTATGACTGGAGGGTCCTTCTTCTGGAGATAGCGATGTTTGATGATATCTAAATTTGAATAACAACTTTACGCAACAATTCTCAGCTAGTATTTATCTTCACATGTTGATGGTGGCAATGATGTGTTTGTTTTGGGGATCCATCTCTAGTAGGGTTCCCATCATTGCTGTAAGATCCCGTTTTTTTTCCTTGGCTATATCCCATATTGCTGCTGACTAGGCCTCTAGTTTTGGAAATATACGCTGATGGGCCCCAAAGGCAAATGGGGTTCAAAACAACGCCTAGCCTCCGCTGAAATTCCCCCGGAGTTGGTTGGAGTTTAACAAGCGCAGTTTCAAGCAGTACCTTCCTGAGAGCAAAGCTACCAGCTGGTTCTTTAACAGTTTGCCATGGAAAATCACCATTTTTAAAAGGTAAACCATCTATAAGTGGGCCATCTATACCATGGCTATGTTAAATAACCAGAGGGTAAAATGAAGGTGGTTCTACGTTTCCTAAGCTGCAGCATGCCACATCATGCCGCCTGCACCGTCTCTTCGATCATCTGGAAGTCAGGCTCCTAGCGAAGCGGGCGAAGCGGTCACATGGGGATAATGGGTGCACAGTTGGCGTCGTTTAGACCCTGGTAATTTGACAACCTTCCTATTGGAAATATTGGGACTTCACCATGGAAATAGATGAAATCGTATGGAAACCATGGCTAGATCATCGAACTGAATGGGTGCTTCCAAAACTATATGAAATTACCAGAAGGGTATTTGGTATAATCATATTGCGGACGTTGATTGATCGTTATTGTTAGGTGTAATTTTCATTACCAAACTGGAAGCAGTGAGGACATCTTTTTCTGGGGATATCGGCGCAACAATTCCCCTAATACCTACTAAATCAGTATTCCCAATAATCGTAGCATATCGTAGAATCGTAGCTTATCCGAATATTGGCAGATTCTCCCTAACAGCACTTTCCCAATATCTTATGGGGTCTTGTTTGAGCACGGATTCCTCAGGGATATCACCACTCTGGTGTTATAGTTGTGATTGTTGTAGGTGTTTGTCACAAACATGCTCCGTGGCAAAGTCAGTGCTCCAGGTGTCAAGACCTTTTTAAAGGTAAATTCTCTTGGGTTTACCAAAATCAAATTAAAAAGGAATTTGATGTTTTTTCCTGCACGAGGTTAATCCAAATTCTGCCGCTAAGTAAGACAGCCAGCAACCATCCATCTATGGTTTAATCACGATAATTTTTAGTAAAAATAATTACATCGCTAGCCAAAGCCGGCCAAAAAAAACAGTTGGCGAGAAAAAACCCAATTATAGACCTTTCAAGAACAAGAAGTACGAAAGTAGCCGCCGAGGCTTGCCCAAACAGTTGACGTGCTGGATCTCAGGGCTTCAGAGAGCCGCATCACTTTGGAAACACCGGCGTTAAAATTGTAATATTTTTCCGACTGATTTATTGGTATCTTTTTTGAATTTATTTGTTGGTTTAAAATGGTAAACGTTCCATATTACCATGAACATCCCATTATATAATATAATCGTCATTAACCAATATTCATTATCAGCCATTACCCTCCAATAAACTAACATAGTTGTGGAAAACCAATAGCTTCCATAAAAAAATGATCTACGCATGCTGAGTCTTCCACATCTTTTTGTCTGTTTTCTCGGTAAATCCTTATTCTTATCCAAGCTTTCCTTAGTGATAACATCGCTGAACACCGCACCTCTCGTGGGGCTTTGGAGATCTCTGCCACCATGTTGGACAAGTGGATCTGTGCCTTGGGGATGCGCCACAAGCTCTGGCAATTTTAAGATCAATAGGGGACGGTTAGCACACTTTCCCTTTCCAATTGGGCCCCTCTACTAGTGAACTGGGTTTTTTCGTCTTGAACGAATATTACGCACTTCCCCAGATTCAACATATGTTCTCCAAATCCATGATTTTTAGCCCCTTTGGAGCAATTTGGCCTTTGGCACAGTAACTGCTGGGGTAATGAGCGACTTTCAAATGTGAGAATCTATTTACATTCTGCCTCCCAAAAATATACCATCTAGGGCGAGCTGATTTTTCACATTATAATCATTATACAGTACCAGTAGTACCGCACAAGGCGGTGGCGGAAGTTTCAAGGATAGGACACTATAGGAGAGATGATTTGTTGTGATGCGTGGATGGCAGAAAGAACCCACTGATGGACCGAAAGGTGGTTGGAGTTGTGCTTTTTGGAGTGGTTGCAATGGTTGCAGTGGTCACCTCACTCACAACTCCTGGATGTAGTGTGGTATAGTGCAGCAGTCGTAGTTGTAGTTGTAGTTGTAGTTGGGTTGATGTTGTTGAAGTCGTAATGATATAGTTGTAGTTGTAGTTGTAGTTGTACTTGTAGCGTAGTTGAAGTTGTAATTGTCTTAATTGTAGTAATTGTAGTAGTTGCAATAGTTGTGAGAGTTGCAGTTGTAACGGAAGTTGTAGTTGTACTTGTAGTGTAGTGTCGTGCTAATGTTTGTTGTAGTAGTGTATTTGAAGTTGAAGTTGAGGTTGTAATTGAAGTGTAGCTGTAGTGTAGCTGAAGTTGTAGTTGTAGTTGCAGCTGTAGTTGCAGATTCTAGTGTAGTTGTTGCAGTTGCTGCAGGTGTAGTTGTAGTTGTAGAGGCACATGTAATTGTAGCTGTAGCTGTAGTAACTGCAGTTGAGGTTGTAGTTGTAGATGAAGTGTAGTTGAAGTTGTAGTGGTGGTTGAAGCTGTAGTTCTTGTAGTTGAAGTGTAGTTGAAGTTGTAGTTGTGGTGGTAGTGTAGTTGTAGTTGTAGTTGTAGTTGTAGTTGTAGTTGTAGTTGTAGTGTGGTGTAGTGCAGTTGCAGTTGTCTATCTGTCTATCTATATATCTGTTTGTCTATTTATCTTTCTGTTTATCTACCTACCTACCTACCTGCCTACCTACCTACCTACCTACATCGATATATCTATCTATCTATCTATCTTAATTGAACATATCCTTTCCATCCATCCATCCATCCATCTATCTTTCTTATCCTATCTATCTTTTCCTATCTATCTTTTCGTACCTATTTTAACCTATCTATCTTATCCTTTCTATCTTATCCTATCTATCTTATCCTATCTATCTTAACCTATCTTATCCTATCTACCTTATCCTAGCTTATCCTATCTATCTTATCCTATCTATCTGACCCTATCTATCCTATCCTAGCTATCTTAACCTATCTATCTTATCCTATCGATCTTATCCTATCTATCTATCTACCTACCTATTTATCTATCTATCTACCTATCTACCTATCTATCTATCTATCTGTCTGTCTATCTATCTATCTACCTATCTATCTATCTTTCTTATCCTATCTATCTTTTCCTATCTATCTTTTCCTATCTATATTTTCGTACCTATTTTAACCTATCTATCTTATCCTATCTATCTTATCCTATCTATCTTATCCTATCTATCTTATCCTGTCTATCTTATCCTATCTATCTTATCCTATCTATCTTGTCCTATCTATCTTATCCTATCTATCTTATCCTATCCATCTTATCCTATCTATCTTATCCTATCTATCTATCTATCTTTCTTTCTTTCTTTCTTATCCTATCTATCTGTCTATCTGAAAACTTGAAAACAAAGCTATTCTGCGAGACTTCCTCCATTTTTGAACTTGGCAACATCAAAAACGCAGGAATTCAGCAAGACTTCCTCAATTTTTGAACTTGATAACGTCAAAAAGGAAGCGATTCTGCGAGACGTCCTCAATTTTCGAAGTTGACAACAGCAAAAACGAAGCAATTCTGCGAGACTTCCTTCAAAAATGGCAAGTTGAGTGCAGAGCTGACGGCCTCGTACCAATGCGTTTTGCGATTTTTCCGTACGTCTCTAAAGTATGGCGCCTGCCACGAAAAATTGATGCCAGGTCATACGAAGTGCTGCGCCTGTCACGCAAAATCATATTCCCCAAACTTAAGATCTGATGCTCCAAAATGCAACGCCTCTCAGGACATCAGCGCCCGGACCTCCCAACATCTCTGATGAATATGTCTCTTGTACTGCGCCTGCCACGCGAAATGCATCTTTGCAGATCCTCTGCAAATGTCCCACGCGTGCCATCGTTTTTGGAAATGCTACAAAACCCTCACGTTTTGCTCACTTTTGGCAAGGTGCAGAATCCCTTGCGCCTGCCACGCAAAACGACATCTGAACCTTCAAAAGTGGTCCGAAGCTGGTGTGCTTTGTACATTTTGACTTGGAAATGTGCTTCGCGCCACAACGGCGTGCAACTTTTCATCTCTCATCATTTCTCATCTGACCACATGGCTCCGCACCCGCCGCTTTAGCGAGCGTACTTTTCGAATCTTTTCGACACTCCGGAGCCACAAATCATTACAACAACACAGTGTTTCGCGACTTTCCTACCTTTTCGCACATCTGTATCTTCTGTCTTCTTACTCTTTCTCTTCTCTCTGCCTCTGCCCTACTCTGCTTTTCATCTCTCCATATTGTCCGAAGTTTGACTTCTAAACTCCCTTTGTCTGTATTCTGTGTTTCACTTTTGTGAAATAAATCTTGGTTCTCACAGTTATGGCCATTTATTATTAGTTATAACTGGTTATTTCTATGGGATACTACATTTTATAAATGGTGTATCGTTAGTACTTACAACTGGTATTTTGGGCCATAACTGTAATTCTTATCCGTTTTTTCTAGGGTTTTATATGGTTTCCTATGGTTTTTAGATGATTTTCCTATGGTATTTCTTGCCATAACTGCATCACAATTTTTTCGGACTCACCGTCTGGGCCCAGGTACCACGGTGGAAAGCACCGCGGCGATGTTGGACTTGTCCGTGGTTTCCTGGCAACCCCAACTGCTAAAACTGGCAGTAAAATGGGGTACATCCCCCAAAATGGTGAGTTTCATAGTGTTTAAAAGGGAAAAATGATGATCAACTAATCCTAATCCCATTCCCCGAATATGAAGCACCCTAGATGGCTCCAAATATGTGTCAATTTCCTAAAAGAACATGGTTTCTGAGAGGTGTTTCATAGTAGGGGGATGAGATTGGTATAGCACATAACATATTATATACCGATACGCACACACGCATCAACATACATAGAATATACACGAATATGTACAAAGTGGAGGTCCCACTTATAAGTTCTTTTGTACTGTACAGCCATCTAACGATAAATGTACCTACCGTAAACCCGTCTCGAGGGAGGTTTATGATTGGCCCATGTTAATTGGGATGCGACCGACCATACAAGCAACTGATTCACCAATCTGAAAATGGCTCTAGCCTCCAGAAAGCCATTTGGAGAAAGGGGAGATTGTGATTCACCATCAATTTGGAGGTAGCCTATGTTCAAACAAACCCAGTGGAGCTCATGGATAATATTTTTTTGGATATTTTGGGGTATTTGGGTACGATCATGGAATCATGGACCCTGTAAGAGGATATCAAGGGGACACATGTTGGATTCAGTTGAGCTGTGAACAATATCACTGCCCCATCCGATTGTTGTTCAATTGTTCAATCCCGGATTTGTGGGTTGCAATAATCCCGAACAAAGCGAGTAGGATAACGGCCTATAATAGCCAATCATCAAGGCTTTTAAGTTCTTTTCTGGATTGCTGATTCCAGCTGGCCTGGATTTTGAGGCATCACAAATTCTGACAGGAGCAACTGTGTGACTGAAAATAAAGACCTGAAGCCTTAAGCAAAGAATGGGGAGGTCAACGTACTATTTCACATGATTGCTATCTCTCAAAAAATGAAAGTGAAATAATTCACATTAAAAAAAACACATTCCGTTGATGATTTTCCCAGCGAACTAAAGCTCCATTTTTCGTGGGCATTTCCCAGCCATGTTTGACTCCCCAAGGTGGACACATCTCCGATCTGTCGCATCCTTTTCCGCATCTGCCGCGCGTCTCGGGCTCACCGGCGCAGATTCGAAGCATCCTGCGGTGTCAGAGTAGTGCTCCGAAATGCATCGAAATGCTGGTGATTCAAGTCACCGCGACATGAAAAGGCAATGATCATGGGGAAAATCATGACCAAACAAATGGGTGAGGATTGAAAAAATCGCCTATTTCATTCTCAAATAAACCCAAATGAGGGATTTTCAAGTTCCAAGGGCTGGTCTTATTGGTCTTTGTCTGCTACATTTTCTTGAGGTTCATCTTCGGGTCGGCCCAAACACAACGAGTTTCTCGGCTAACAAACCGCAACTCTTCACCCTCAATGCCGTGAATTCGATGCTACTTTTTGGGTGAAGATTTGTGAGACCAACAGAGATAACTACCATCTGGTTATGACTAACATAGCCATGGAAAATCACCATTTGTAATAGGTAAACCATCTATAAATGGGCCATTTTCCATGGCTATGTTAAATCACCAAAGGGAAACATAATAACATAATTCCCCAATGGTATTCGTCATGCACCAAGTGCAAATGATTTTCCCAATTAACCATCTTTAACCGCTATGATTTTTTACCCACTAACCCTATTAGTAATCCCAGTTGAACCCCAACTATTTCCCATTGATGTGCCCATGTTTTCTTCATCACCCAAAAAGCGAACAAATCAGGGTGAGGTACTTTGCCCACCGATCGCGCATGCACAGGCTGGGTTGGACCGCAGCCAAGGGGCTCTGCATATGACATCTACAGCCAGGAAACTTCAGACTTTTTGCCCCAAAAACTGGAGATGCCCATTTCATGGTTGAAGTCCATGGCAGAAAAGCCCGGTTGAGAGGAAGATTCTATGACAATAAATCCATGGTGAAAAATGGTCAGACTTCAAGGGGTCAACCGCCATCCACTTGAATTCGTTGGGATCAGCATAGCCATCACAGGCCGAACAAATTTTCTAATTCGTAATCTCGAAGAAATGGATAGACATGGAATATTTAACATTCGTACTCCCAAACATGTTTTTTCTCAGCCAGCTGCCCGAGATCTTCAGTCCCTATTAGCTTTTCTTCCAAGGGCGCCCAGCGTCATCCAAGGCTGACGGTCTCGGGTGGGACGAAAATGCCGCTTCTGTCCAGGCCACCAGATTCACTCAGCGGGCTGTAGGAGCGTGGATTCGCACTCGCTTGGTATCCTGAGAATCTGGATGCAACTGGTGGTTCCAACCAATGGATTGGAACATCCGAGAATGGGATTTTCCATGGGATTTTCTGCAACATGGGGGTTTTCCGGTCCATTCTTCCCTGAAAAACTGAAGGAGATCACCTCATAGCACCAATGGCTGAGTTCTCTCGGGAACATTTCTTGGCCAAGAAGAATGAAGAATATTTTTAGTTCCCACAGGATGGGGCCCCCTATAGTTATGTAAGTTGGTTTGTAACACCATCTAAGTATATTTATAATCATCATACACTATTGTTATTATAGTTACAAACCAACTTAGCTAACTATGGGGCCCCATCCTGCAAATGATGTGATGAACGCGTGGGAAATGAAGACTCCTCTTCAACAAATCCGAGGTGATGAGGGAGGCATGACGTGATCGGTGAACCTCCAGGATTTACTGGTCAAACTGATTTTTGCTGATACAACCACGTGTGTTCTTGAAATCCATATTGTATTCTGGTTGGTGGTATACCTACCCCTCTGAAAAATATGAAAATCAGTTGGGGTTATTTTCCCCAACTGAATGGAAAGTCATAAAATTCCATGGTTCCAAACCACCGACCAGTATTTTTGATGTGTTAAAACACACCCTGTGAAACCTACACCTCAGGACCAAGGGTGCTTGATCTGGAGGATTCGTGGCAACATTTTCAGCAAAAAACCGCCTGCAACCACCATTCAGCTGGCTTCAGGGTCAACCTAGGAATGCTTCAACATTTATATATGATGTTCCAAAAAACACCTTTCTGATGGGTTTTCCAAATGGTTTTCACTACTACTTTCTGGACATAAACCTGTTTTCCTGGTTAAATCACATTTTTCTCTCGGTCAAATCCCAATTCTTTGCCCACAAAATCGCATTTTCCAGGCCAAACACATGCGCGCTGCAACCCTGATGTTGCTCCATATCTGATTTAGATAATGCATTCCCTCCTGTCAATAGGGGGTGAGGCATTTGATCCCATAGAAGCAACATGTATGGTATTGATTGGTATTGTTCATAGTAAGAGCTTAAATGTTGTTCAATCAGTGGTGAATCCCCCCCTTTTGAATCCGAAGATTTCAGGTCGACACTGTTGGCTCCACCGCAGATCTCTTTTGTTGACATGGTGCAAAGTTTGCGCTGGGGCGAGCTTGTGTTTTTCCATGTTAGTTTTTTCCATGGTTTTTAAAATGCCCTTTGTTTTTTCATAATTCATATGTTTTCCATGGTTTTCCCATGGTTTTCCCATAGGGTTTTCCAGGTTTTTCTCCTTCAACCCAACGTTTTTTCCGCGGCACCGGTGACTGTGACCTCCTGCGGGTCGATGCCGGCTCCGAGGAGCTCGCTGCGCAGCACCGACTGCACCGCGCCGGTGTCGAAGCCGCTCAAGGTTTGGCACAGCTCCTGGCATCGCCGAGGTTTCAGTTATTACATTCTATAAGTGGGGTTAATCCGTACTAATGTCTGGTAAAGTATAGCCATTTATTAGTTATAACTGGGTAGAAATGCGGTTATTAGTTGGTAAAGGGCCATAACTGTTGAATGGTGAATATGCGGGGATATAATGGGATATCGTATTATAATGTATTATATGATGAATTGTTGATCGCCAAAACCTGTGATTGGCATCTTTTAAGGGGACATATACATGGATATATAATTAGCATATAAGTTGCATAAATGGAGGAATTCATCCCATAATTGGATGAGATTCTCTATTTTGATTAACAATGATTATATAACTGATTCAACATCCAAAGTGATTCCATACTTATTTTCTCTGTACATAGTGAGTTGGACTTGATGGGAAAATCATTGTATATCACCTATAATTTGCATGTAGTGGGTTTATAGATAAACAATAACTGGATGATGAATATCAAAATGAGGGTTTAGCCATGGTTTGGTGTTCAGGGTTACAGTCATTGAAAGCACATTGTCATTATATATATATCAGTATTTACATGTATTTATATGTATTTACAATAACTACACTCATTATTGGTAGTTATTCTTCCTATCATTGATTATCTGAGTTACTTTAGTAATCATGTGGGTTTATATCCATTTATGGTGATCTACTCTCCGGTGTCATCAAACGTGGCTAGGAAATCCTGTATCAAAAAAAACGGTTTGACACCGGTAGAAGGTCTCGGTTGTACAGGGTGAGGCCCCACGTTATAAGTTGGTTTATACACTCATTACCCTCTGGTGAACATACATAGAAAGCTATTGAAAATTGCCATTTCTAGTTAATTTATCTGGTATTTAAAATGGTGATTTTCCATAGTTATGTTATAGTTTACCAGAGGGTAATAATGATACTGTGGATGGGCCAGCGAAATCCTGCAGCACCAAAAGGATGGTTGCAACCCCAATGGGATGTTGACACCATCAACTGGTGATAACTGGATTTCGCAACCATGAAATCCAGATTTCATCAAGGATATCCACAGCAAAAAATCACAGTATGGAATCACCATCCACATAACTACCAATTTGTGGATTTCTATATGGTGATTTCATCTTTTTCAACAGTAATATCCATAGTATATCTACCATATCTAACAGATTCTAACTATATCCATTCCATGTATAATCCACCAAAACTTGATATCCACAGTGTTTTTCCACCATAAACCATAGATTTCATCTGTACATCACAGGGGCGTCCCCTTCAGGGTGTCCCCTGTGACGTGTCCTCCGCTCCGGAATCTTCCA